AGTTAGGTCTCGTTAAGTTCAGTCTGGTACATGAATTCAAGGAAATACTTATAATATTTTGTTGACTATCAGTGGTGACAGAGCCCCCTAACGGCTTGAAGTTGAACCTCCGCAACACGTACTTCAAGATGCGACCTCACGCGCTGGAAGAGTGCGCGCATCCACAGTTCAAGAAGCTCGTCTATGTGCTAGCGTTCTTCCACGCTGTAGTACAAGTAATGCATCTGCAATAATTTTATATTTTTTTTTTATTTCAGAACATAAAACAATCATAAAATCGAGACGTTATATTCAAATGAAATGAAACTTTATTGAAATAAAGATTTTATGGTATTATGTCTAGGAGCGTCGCAAATACGACAAAATCGGTTGGAACATATCATACGACTTCAGCGAGTCTGACTTCGTGGTCTGCATGCAGATCCTGCAGTGCTACCTCGACCGCACCACCGGCGCTGTGCCCTGGGCCACGCTCAAATACCTCTTCGGAGAGGTAACCTACGATAATCCACCTTCAATTAATTTAACGTGACTTTAGTCGATACAAATACCTTCATACACAGAATATACAAATACAATATCTACTACAGTCAAAAACTACGTATGTAGTAGGATACCCTAACCTTAGGTTGATTTTTTTTTTATTAAAATATTAACAGATTTTAATAAATTTACTAATATTTCTTGTACTAAGCCCTATCTATGCTTGTGCTAGGACATGGTTTACAAGAATAGTCGAATGGCAGGATTCAAACCCCGACCTCGTGATCGGAAATCCGTACCCTTAACCATTTGGCTATTCGCGCTTCTAAAAATATGTTAATATATATATTTTTTAATTGCGCTTACTATATAATTGACACTAAACACAGTTAAAAACTTCAGTTAGTAAGAATTATGGTAAATAGAAGTTTGTGTATTCCTCTCGGTATCATGTGTACTTCGCAGGTGATGTACGGGGGTCGCGTGATAGACGACTTCGACCGTCGCGTGGTGGGCACTTACATGGACGAGTACTTGGGCGAGTTCCTCTTCGACAAGTTCCAGCCCTTCCACTTCTACCACGACGATGTTTTCGATTACTACATACCGCCAGACGGCGAGCGCGAGGAGTATATCGGTCAGTTCATGTGTTAGACAGAGATAGTCGTGAAGTTGCTTCACTTCAATATATGTTACACAAACACTTTTCTTCACACACTCACACTTTCATAAAGCAACAATGAGCGTTGTCGTTTAGTTGCTATGTTTTTAATACAGGAGTTTAAAAAAAAACTAAATGTGACAAAATATAGCATTACTTTGTTTTTTGACATTTAAAGAGGGTATAATTTGGGGCAGATTTGTTTGCTTGTTTCGAATAAACTGTAACAAGTATAGATAACTGATTTAACGTGAGTTTCTGAGACCAAAACTTATTGTTTGTTACGAGTTTGTTTTACTTCTTAATCAGAGTTCGTGGATTCCCTACCACTGGCGAATACGCCGGAGGTGTTTGGGCTGCATCCCAATGCGGAGATCGGGTACTTCAGCCAGGCCGTGCGCGATATGTGGTCACATCTCATCGAGTTGCAGCCGCAGACCAGTCAGTATATGTTATAACGTACACCTGGATTTGAAAACTACATTTTGTTAATAAAAAAAACATATATGGAATCACATTAACACAACTTTTTGACACTTGAAGAATACGAATGCAAATTGCAAAACACTTTTTTCTTGAAAATCTAAGCATTGCCACTAAATAACTAAATAATTTAATTGAACAATTGTACATTCTTCATTCTTGTAAGCCAGTCATTTCCGTGCTGTTTTTTATATATTTCATATTTTCTTTTTGTGCTGCCAGTCACAAAGCCAGATTGTAAGTATTTAAATTTATAGACGTACCGATTTTATCGTGAAATACCAAAACTTAATTATTAAATCATTTTCATGCTGCAAGTGAAAAGTGAAGGTAATAATTATAATTTATACTAACACTTTATATTTATGGAGATCATTTTGACAGACCTAATTTATGTCGTCATAACAGTGCAGCTCTCTTTCTCTCTCTCTTACTGTTATGGTACTGTGTGCGTGGTGCAGGCGAGGGCGGGGGCGCAATGAGCCGCGAAGACTTCATCGACTCTATAGCAGTAGACGTGCTGGCCAAGCTGCCGGTGCAGTACGAGGTGTGGCGCGTGCGAAAACAGTTCGAGATGAACATCACGCCCGCCGTCGTCGTGCTGCTGCAGGAGCTTGAGAGGTTGCCTCTTGTGACCCTATCCTTCTATTTATTTGTACAGTCGAGGAAATATATTTCCTAGCCATTTCGGTTAAATATATTATAATTTGATGCAACCAACAATATTCGCTGCAATACCATCGGAAACTTGTCAAAACAACATACATGCGTGTTAAATTACAGCTCTTATAGGGACAGTTTTCTGACGATTGATATTATGTGGGAAACAATTCATTAACAGACCAGAGTTGGTGTCTCGGTGTCTTTAGTTGTTAACTAGCGGAATGTAATCATGTTTGTCAGGTTCAACCGTCTGATCAACAAGATGCACAGCACTTTGTCGCTGCTGCGCAAGGCTCTGGCGGGGGAGATCGGGATGGACGCAGTGCTAGACAACGTCGCCTCCAGTCTGTTCAACGGGCAGCTGCCGCACGTGTGGCGCGCGCTCGCCCCCGCCACCTGCAAGGGCCTCGGCGGCTGGATGGACCACTTCATGGAGCGCACCAAGCAGTACACTGATTGGGTCAGTATCTCCTCCCCCCACACACATGAAAACACAAACAAACAAAGGCAAACCTTACCCCTTGCCTCCTTTACAATAAACAAACGATTCCAGCAGCTTTTAAAACAACGTTATCGAAACAGAAATATGCAAAACGACTTATGATGTCAACATTTAGGACACCATTTTTTAAGCTCATATTTGATAAAAGGAACGGCGAATCAGTCATATGAACAACTTTATTTAGTGTTAAGCAAATGTGTGGCTATACAGGCGACGATGGAGGAGCCGATAGTGATGTGGCTGTCGGGTCTGCACGTGCCGGAGTCGTACCTGATCGCGCACGTGCAGACGACGTGCCGCGCGCGCGTGTGGCCGCTCGACCGCTCCACGCAGTACACGCGCGTCACCAAGTACACCGCCGTGCCTGACATCGAACAGCGACCCGACTCCGTTAGTTAGATGCAAAACATTTTAATAAAACTCTCTCATTACGATATATATCATAATCCACAACTGCTTATTGTAAGACCATTGGTTTTTGATACCCAAATCTCCGTTTAAAACATATTTGTATCTCTGTTGTAAGCAAGATAATGACAAGCCACGATGTTTTACCACGGTTACTATTTTAACCGACAGAGGTCCATAGTTAAGAATTCAATATATGTAGCTATACATAGGCATAATATAGAAAAATTGTTTTATTTTCATTGAAGAATTGCGTTGAACTATTTTTATAAAAGTTGTATATAACATGGTAAAATTATATTAATAACATATTGTAATGTAGGGGTGCTACGTTCGCGGACTGTACCTGGAGGGAGCGCGTTGGGACCTGGAGGATGGCTGCCTGAGACGCTCCCACCCCAAAGTTCTGGTGACAGAGCTGCCCATCATGCACATCATACCTATAGAGGCTCATAAGGTCAAGCTGCAGGTGAGTAGACAACATTGAGACACTCGTTTGCCAAAATTGCTTATAAAAAACCCTAATGGCATGGAACGTGTTAATTATTATATGTAGAATAAATAAATGATTTCTGAATATTGAAATAATATGCGAGAACACTTAGTGTTAAGCAAACTATCAAGTACTATTTCTATTTGTGTTCACTTGACCGCCTTGACTTATTCAAGGAAATGACCTTGTCTAATTTAAAACTAAAGTAAATAAAACTTTGTGGTTACCTGCGTCACGAAATGCAGTATTTCTTATTAACACACTTCTATTAAGAAGTTGTATTTATTTATCTACTAGCTGTCGCCCACGATTCCGTCCTCGCGAAATTAAAAAAAAAACATACTATTTGTTTTTTTTTTGTGCCTATGTGTTATTCCAGACTATGTTCTACATCTATGCCAAATATCATCAAGAACCGTTAAGCCGTTCCAGAGATATCTTCTAGCAAACATCCATTCATCAAAACTTCTCCATTTATAATATTAGTAAGATTATTATTAAAAACATTTAAGAGCAATTTTTTATTGTAGAACACACTGCGAACGCCGGTTTACACGACATCGCAACGGCGCAATGCTATGGGCGTAGGCCTGGTGTTTGAGTCTGACCTATGGACCGCCGAACACATCAGCCACTGGGTGCTGCAAGGCGTCTGCCTCATCATGAATACGGACTGAACATCTCTGGACATTGTAATACAAAGATACAGTAAGGTTAACGCAATAGGTCACTGCAGGCAATCTGTTTTACAGAGGAACACGCGCGTCGTAAACGCGTACATGACGCGTCGACGGTTTAGTGACCAAGAATAATATGTTAACAAAAATGATACAAACTTGCTTACACATGTCATAGAATGAAAATAGGTTAAATATCTTTAAATTTTATTATCTGTAAGCTTTTACTTGATGTTTAAAGAACATTATATAAAAAAACCACATTATATGATTCCTATATACCAATTTATCACACAAGTGACGATAATGTCTTGCTTAGATTAAATGAAAAAAATTAAACAGGAGTAATTTGAGTATTTGATGAGATATTTCCATTGATCTTGCATAAAATTACTCGAGCTAATTTTAAATGCTATGGTTTTCCACTGTCAAAAAGATTTTATTATAGCTGTCGCCCACAACACCTTCAGGTGTGAATTAAAAAAAAACTAAATTAGTATGCCAAATTTCATTATGATCTGTTTAGCCGTTCTAGAGACACCTTCAAACATCCATTCATCCATCCAACCATTCATCTAAACATTTGCATTTATATATTTTACCATATACATTTATTTATCACATTTCTAATATAATACATTTCATATAAAAATATGGAATTATATTTATAAATTGCATTTATATTATTAGTAAGATGGTTATCTCAGTTTCTGAAAAAATAGTGGTGGAAACCCATAGTTAGTCATCAATGCTACCAACATAACAAACAAAATTTGTTGATTGATTGAATCTTCTCTTGTTTCTAACATAACTTATGTAATTGTGTATTAATGAATTAAATAAAGACTGATTTTTTATTACTTGTTTTATTTAGTTTCCTCGTAATTTTTGTGTAAATGGCTCATATCTGGTTCTTTGCCTTTACTTGAGGCAAGCAGAGATTATAAAAAGATGTACTCAAAAAGTCATTCAATGGCTGCCATTTCACCCAGTCCTTGTTCTGTAGATATTCTTTTGACTGTTCTTTACCAAAATAATGCGGGTCCTGTAGAATACATTACCTTTAAGATAGTCATATTTTTGTTATTATTAATAAATTTGAAAACTACTGGACTGATTTCAATTTTTTTTTGTTATTAGAAAGCAACATTATCACTGAGTACCACAGGCTATATAAGTAATTTTTTTAACTCCATGTGCGATATAATTGGAGAAAAAAAGCTAGGTATTTATAAAAATGGATAATTCTCAATTATGGAATACAACTTGGACTAATATGATATGACTCTTGAAAAAAAAACAATTTTTAACTCTACAAAAAAGTCAATCACTACCTAAAGCAATGTATTTTATACTCTTTCGGTGAAGAAACAAGATAGATAATGGAACTATTACCACTATTAAAAGGCTGGTGTTTCTTTCGGAGACTGTTACTCCCATGACCCCTTTTGATGAACAGTCCACATCTCCTCCCATCATAATAGGACTACCAAAACTAGTAAAGTGCAGCTTTAAAATATCTGTTATCTTTTCCAGTTCGTCACCTTTATTCACATGAACAATTTTGCATGGAACATCATACAGCTTGTCAATAACAAGACAAACCTAAAAGATAATTATTTATTTATAAATTTTTCATTGAGTAAAATATTTTAAGATATTTATACACAACTTTCCAGCGCCTTTTTGAAAAAAAAAAACAGGAACAATGTGCCCGTAAATAAATTTGTTAAAAATAAAATTTACCTCAAAACTGCCAATCCATTGTTTCGATCCCAAAAAGTTTTTAGGCTTATCTTCTAGTTCAACTAGGACTTCTTGAATTTCTTTTATAGATGGTACTCTATTTATATTCTTATAGTTTAGGTTTAACCAGGAACACAATGTCTGTAATGTTCTGTACCCACATCCCCAGCCCTAAAATAATATAATTCGATCATTTTATGCTAACCTAAGTTTGGTTAGGCTTCCTTCATCTCCTTGTAAATTACGCCTGAATAGTGAAATCTTAGGTTACCCTATCGTCGAAACCATCACACCCATAATGATAATATTGGTAATTGCCTTGCACTAAATAACAGTTTTTATCCGATTCATTGGACAAAATATCATGAATGTTTGTCAATAAAGTTGATGTCATTTTTGTTTTTGTTGACATTAGACTTTGACATTGACATTGACTTCTTGGCATTAAGTTTTAAAAGGCAAAGGAAGTTATCAATCGGTCTGGTTATAAAATTTTTAAGTTTTTTGGTTTAATATTAATTTATGTTATGTAATATTTTTTTTAACTTATTCTCGAATTTAATCGTTGTTTTATTAGTGAATTTAATTATCGGACCACATGAAAAAAAAGGGAAAGAGATAGATCACAACAATAATTGTCCATGTCGTTCGGAAGTAGAAACTCACTGTTAAATACATTTACTTATTGTTATTTTTGATATGGATGTCATGTTTTCCTAATTACTCGTAATCAACCGTAAATATCAAGTAAATATTAATGACATAAAAGTCAGGGGTAACAAACCTTTAAATGTCACCGTGCAATCAAATAATATTGATTTGTAATTATTGTTACCATGTAGTAGCGTAGGGATCATTTGAGATCTCCAATTTAGTATATATATGTAAACAGGTTTTCCGCGATCTGCAAGAAAAAGGCAAAGAAGGCATAAATCATCCTAATTTTGCTAAGTATCCCATACATTGAGAAAAAACAATAAGGAACTTGCAGAAAAATACCAAAAAAACAAATGATGATAAGTATGCTAATACAAAGAATTAAATATAAACGTTTATTGACGTTAAAAGATAACCAAAAAACAATAAATATTTTTTTATACAAACCGGTAAAATGTTTAATTAAAAAAATATTCCTGATGTCCAACTGTTGTATAACAAATTTCTCAGAAGTTTTCGCTGCCATTATCGTGATAATAATTGTTATAGATTCAGCTATCATGAAGTTATGACTTTACAGTGTACACAACTACAAAACAACTTAAGTACCTACATTGTTACGTAATTTGAATTGTAAAGTTTGCGTTTGCTCGTTAATTAATTCAATATTTATGATTACAATTCGAAGATGACTTTATTTGAATGTTATACTAGGCTGGATCCCGGATATGACTTGCCTAATACGTACTCGTACCCTCAATGACTTTTAACCGTAATAGGGTAAACAGAAATTATACGTCAATTTGTTAATTAAAAAAGAAAAAGGAAAAACTTATAACTTTTGAGGAAGGAATACGAATCGTCAACTCAATCGTCAACATCGATTCAGTTATTTACACTCCAGGCGGTCACAATGGATTATATACAAATACGCATACATCTTACTAATGCACCAGTTTAAATGGATGGATGTTTTGTTTGAACGTACCTCAAGAACGACTAAAAAGATTTCCCTGTTTGGCATAGATATCTCAATAGTCTGGAAGAATACATAGGCTATTAATTAAGTTTTTTTTTAATTTAGTGTGTACGGAGTCATGGGCAAAATAGTACTACAAACGTTGCGTTTTAGCAACCGCATTTACTTAATAATTTTTGTTCAGAAATAATAAGTCTTTAAAATATGTCTCGTAATAAAAACAGTTGACAGTGTTTAATTCGCGCATGTTTTTAGTTAGTGATACTGTTTATAATATATTAATTAAACATAACGTAATTTTGAACGTAAACAAATATTATCTATTGCCTAATTCATGGAAACCAATCTTCAATTAATTAAGCTGAAATTGAACAGGAAAAATAATATTATTTGTTTGAAATATTTACTCATTACTTGCCTAATATTGACCCTGAGTGGCGGCGAGACACGAGCGGGGCGGGGTGGAGGGGTCACGTTGAAGCTATAAAAGACATTGTTCAAATTAAAACACATAACATTTGTAATCAGGTTTCATCCAGTACTGCATTTATTTAAATTATCCAAAATGAAAACCGCTTTGGTACGTACATACAAACATTGATTATTTTTAAATATTGATAATTCATTTTCCCACCAATTTTATTAAGATTTTCGTCTAGGTTATTTTTTTTTATTTTTAACATTTCGCAATTTTTACTCACCAATCTACGATTTCATGAATTCGCTTGGATTGGAATGGATAATTGGAATTATTTAAATTAATTTCCATAATACAAATAATAATTATTCATTTAGTTAAATTAAGAAAGGTTTTGAATTGCCTGGAATGTGAAATCATCTCTAGCGATTTCTGGCTGAATAGATACGTAGGTTATTCAAAATCGGAATAATCTTAAAACCTTTAAGACAATACAGAGTAACCACAATTCTTTTTTATAACACACGGGAAAAGAAAACAAATTGAACGTACGTCACTCTTTAAAAATTAGCAGGCTGTTCTATGGCTGGTCTATGTCAACCGGACAAATAATAATTTTTAGCTTAATTGAGCATCAAATCTACACACACAATTAATAAGAAACACCTTACAGTAAATTTTATTACCTAAATCTTTTCCTGTAGATGTCTAATCTGGAATACAAAAGTGTTGCCAACTTAAATTTAAATTCAAATATTTACATGTAAAAAATGTATACAACCTCTTTCTTTATGTTTATTTTTTATTTCTCAACTTTTGGTTAAGTTTAGTAACACATTTTTTGCCTTCAAATTTGTTTTTGATAAATACATTAATAGAATATAGTAATTAGAATTTTAACAAATTATTTAGTATTTTAGTTTAATTACATATACACTGCATTTTCTCGAATATAGGAAAATTTTCATCACACTATATTCACTTACACTTATTAGGTATTCTCAATTTTGTAAGACAACATGGTTTTGTACAGATGTGTCGACAGTAAGAACTGACGTTTAAAAATATGTAAACAATATTATTCTGTAACTCAACATCACGCTATTTGATCAGTTATTTAAATAAAGACAAAAACGAGAACACAAACACGTCGATGATTGTTGACAGACCTTTTTAAAGAGGTTATCTAAACATATTAAATCTACAACTAACTATAATTAACTTTTGTTTATTTTTTTAATGATTTCTCTTAATAGGTTAACTCTGACTGACCCCAGATTGGAATGAAAACTGATAACATTTATTTACTTCTATTTATCTTTTTATTTCCACGTTCCAAAATATTCGGCCAGTGCATTTATCAATAATTAAAAAAATAAAAAACTTTTTTTTCCAGATCGTTCTATTGGCTTTGGTTGCCTTTGCCGCAGCCCAAGGTATTTATTTAACGAAGACATTTCCTTCTTTCGAAGTATAAAATCTATATGACAAACATATATTCAAATGTTCTTACCTATCTCAAATAGTAATAAAATAAAATCGCATCAAAAAACATTTAAAAGAGGAAAATGTTTCGGTACACAACACTGAATATTTACTCACATTTATATAAGAATAGCAGTTGCCCGCGAATACGTCCGCGTATTTAAAAAAAAAACTAGCAATAAAGAATCCTATCCAATGCAAACAAACGATGAAATTACTCTTTAAATATTAGTATACATAAGTATTTATGAGGATTTTTTTTAAAACATTCACAAACATTAACCACTTTATACATTTTCTTTTATTTGCAGTTCATGTCGTGGATCATAATCCTTCAGAAGGTACTTAGTTAAATTCTTGTTTTGTAGACATATATTCGCAGTTAAAATTAAAACAAAATACTAAAATAGAAACAATTAAATTCAAAAAGTATTGTTTTATTTTCAAATTTAATTCATTTCAAATTAAAATAATAAAAATGTGATAATATTTCATATCTATTTTTTTTTTCTATTTTTTTTCTTTTATCTATTACACAGACATTTTCTTATTTACAGTCCACGTGGTCGATCGTAATCCCTACGAAGGTATTTAATCGTAATTTACACGTCTCTTTATAATTTTTTTTTTTTAAATGCATAAAAGTTTTCTTTTTATTCCAGTAAACGTTGTAGATCGCAATCCATTGGAAGGTTCGTAATTAAATATGTAATATTTATAATACATAACAAAATTATAGTTTATTTATAAATTAATTAATTAAAAAAAAGTAAACGAAAGAAATATTTTTATTACAGTACATGTAGTCGACCGTAATCCTAGTGAAGGTATTTAACATTTTTTGAATAAATAAAATAAATGCAGCATAATATTTAAACTGTAAAAAAATAATTTTAATATTTTTTACAGTACACGTGGTAGATCACAATCCTTCGCAAGGTTCGTAACAAAACAAATAAAATTTAATAATAAAAATTATTTAATTTAAAAATATATACCACAACATACAATAGATTTTGAGCAAAAATCTGAATAAATAAAATCGTACTTGTTATAAAAATAAAACCATTTGCTTTCAGTGCATTTTGTGGATCACAATCCGTCAGGTACGTTCGCAAATTCGTCAAATTCCAAAAACAAAAAATTCTTGTAATTTTTACATCAATGTAATTTCCAAACGAAATCAAACCTCAAACGTCGCCAATATCCTTGAACCAAACAAATGATTTGAAAATATGTTTGTTATATGTACTTGCCTTCTTCTATTATTTCTCTAATTACTATTCTTATAAAATCATAAGCTTAGCGTTCGTGGGTGTTTTGCACGAAGTAATATTCGCATATTATTTTCAGATGGACTCAACAACCCAGATGGTTGTAAGTATACAATTGCTTATGTGAAAAAAAAATCAGTCCCTTCTTCTTAAAATTAATCATTCTGTTGGAAGAAAGATTTGCTGCTTGCTTTCGTACAGGCGCTTTTTGAATCTTATGTATCTTACGTCTTCGTTCAACTTTCAAACTGTTTATCAGTAATTAGAGATCAAAATAAATGAATTAATGGGCTAATAAGCGGCTCTACTAATTTTTAAATTACTATTTTTGTTTAATTTTTCAGTCGTCGTTGATCAAGGTTTCTACAGGCCAAGCAACCGTAAGTAACTACATGTACTGTAAAATAACAATAATGAACCTACTAATTATAGGACGGATCGAACAAGTTGACATCATGTAGTTTGTAAATCAACTTTTGAAATAATGACGAGAAACCTATTCTATTCACCATAAGAAAAAGTCTATAATTATTTTTTATTTGTTATATTAGTATTATAAATAAATATGTTCATTTATTTACATGTTTTCTATAATATATAACAACACATATTAATAAAAAATATAATTGGTAATATTATAATATAATAAGATTGAAGTAATAATATATTGTCTTTTATTTTCCAGCTCCCAATGGTGGCTATGAACAAATAAGTAAGTTTATATATTATTATAATTGTCAGTATAACTTGCCCAACATTTATAAAACAAATATTTTATGTTCTCCAAAATGTTATCAAAATTTTATGATATAAAATTTTTTTAAATAATATTTTTGTCTTTTAGGCACTGGACCAGCATACGTTGACTTCGGAAACCGACCATACGCTGGCAAACACTGTAAGTCCGATGAAATGCATTTCAAATCATTCTTGTGATATCTTTTTGTGCTGCGTTTGTCCATAGGCTAATTGAAGGGAGCGTGCTATCTAAAATTTTTACAATGTTTCTATATTTTCAGACAACAACCCAGACCTTCGCGGAGGCAAGTAGACCTCGAGCACTACGCAATAATAACATCTTTAAAACATAAATAATTAAGTTAAAACAAACTTTACATTTTTACAATGTTAAATAATTTCCCAGTTACTGTAATACTCCGTTACTTTGTAATAAACCAGTAAAACTTTCTACTATTTCCTGTGTCTTATTTACAACCTAGATCAAAAACAGAACATAGAACCTAGTAGTCGAACCTAGCTCATGTAATTTTAGAAATATGAGTAAAAATATAGTTATGAATAAAGGTACGGTTCTAATACCTAGTTTCTTAACATCGGCATTAATTGCCTCAAAGATTTGGCAGAGCGTCATCTATTAAACAAAAAGGAAAAAAAAGAAAATTTACAAGAGTCATTCTTTTTAAGGTTCCGTACCTCATAGGAAAAAACGGAACCCTCATAGGATCACTTTGTTGTTCATCCGTCTGTCTGTCAAGACCATTTTTTACATCTTATTATGCTTAAATCCGTTTAATCAAATCGATTTCGTTTCAAGTGAAATTCAGATATCGTTATCACTAGATAGATAACGTTCATAGCTTAACATCTATATCAAAATCAGTCAGTTCACTAACAATACACAACAACAGTGTGTTAAAATCATGAAGCTCGTGTTGTTCCAGATTGTTCTGCTAGCCGTACTAGCTATGGCTAACTGCCAAGGAGGTAGGCTACGTTTAAAACATAAATATGTGTGTTTCTCTTTACGAAGATGATGTTAATGTATTTATTTATAGTGTACAGTCATAACATACCTGCAAAAAGAATTGAAACCAGCTGTTCTATTCGTAGTAAATTCCTGCTTCCACCTTAATCCACTTTACCATAATAATAAAAATAAATGAAAATAATTATTATACTTTTAGACATTATTAATTACTCGTAGAATCCTTTGGCGCGAATGGCGCGCTTTCACTACCAAGTCATGTGTCAGAAGAGAATAGTGAGGGGACATAAACGTCGACATTTTAGTAAAGCTAGTGTTGCGTCAGTACACCGGCACATTGTACGATTTTCTTCCTAACAGTAGTTACAAATGTTGTTTTCTTAAACACAAACAAATTTTAAATATACATTCTAAAATACCTATGTAAATTCGATTTGCAAACTTGAACTTTGAATTACTTTTTCTGTTTTTAAAGTTTTTCTTTTTCTTATGTGTTCTTAGTCTTTCTACTTCTTTGTGTTTACAGTTCAAATAGTGGACCACAACCCTTTTGTAGGTAAGTTGAATGTAACTATATTTACGCTTGTTCTATGTTTTGTCTATGCCTTGGATTTTATAGCTGGCTAGGAAATAACCATGGGTTTATCGACCCTTATGACGACATATAAAATATTCCTTTAACAAATATTGTTGTGTGGGATCACCGTTTAATAATTTTTTTTTAAATAATTGGTGTTTAATAACCTCAAAAATAGATAAGGGATAGTATTTTCGCACCTAATCGTTAAGGCCGTATTAAATTTTCTAGGTTTATATTTTACATTTATAGTTCAAAAAGTCTTTTAGTATAAGAGTAGAGAATCTTACTTCTTACTAATATTATAAATGCGAATGTTTGTATGGATGGATATTTGTTTGAAGGTATCTCCGGATCGGCTGGACGGATTTTGATGAAATTTGGCACACATGTAGAACATAGTCGCGGGCGACAGCTAGTAGAGATATATGCAGGTTGTGTGAAATAAAAATAATCATTTGCATCTTCTTTTCAGATCAAGCCATCAACGATAATCCCGACAACTGTGAGTACTTTTACGATAACAACAGCACTGATTTAACGCGTGCGCAAACAATTTAGATGAAAAAGACATCTTCAAAAACAACCGATTACACAGAAATATTTTTTTATCTTGTATTCTTTATTAATACCTAATATTCTAAGTTACGGCAAAAGAACTATTTGCCAGTATTTACAATCCATTATATTTTGGTTTCAGTCATAGTGGATGAATACTTCTATAAGGCGGCAACTTGTGAGTTTATATTTACAAATAATTATTAATTAATTTAATAATAATCCGTCTCTACATCGCCAATGGACACTACAAGTTTAACTGACAAGAGGATATTGCAAAATCATGAATAGTACAACTAAGAGGCATACATAGTTCTTTTCAAATATTTTGGCCCAACGTCATGCTCATGCTGCCCAGTGCTCTCCCCAACATCCCACTACGCCTTGCTATACCTAACATTGTGTTCTGCGCAGCGACTCGCACGAAATTAAGACCCGTCAAGATATCTGAAAACTACAAGAATTCAAACATTAAGATTGATCTGTTTTAATTTTATTGTTACAGCTGCGCCTGGTGATTATGAAGAAATCGGTGTGTATTTCCCAATTATAAATAAATTGATTATAATTATGTAGTAGAAAAATCTCAAGGTGGTTTAAAAATAGTTTTATAAATGTTTATTTCCTGCAGATATTGGGCCCGCACTGGTCGACGATTCGGTTCAAATACCACCTTATCCGTACAAGAAATGTAAGTACACATTAAATACATAAATATTGAAGAAAACAGCAATTGGTATAAGATGATTATAATCTGTCTTTTTTTTTTAATTATTTAAATTCAGATAAGAACTTCACAGCTGAACCTTTTTATTTATTTTACAGATGATTCGCCGTACTTGCGTGGAGGAAAATAATTCAACGAGTAATTGTAAATATAGTACATGAAAAATACATAATGTCATTATATTTCATATGTATATTCACAATAAATAAATATATTAGAATGCACTTATAGTGAGTTTTATTCATAAATATAATTATACAAGTTGACAAATTAAGTGCCAGTATTATTTATGGACACAGAAATAGCATATTAAGATTATTTTATACACGTATTTAAATATATTTTAAGCAATGAGTTTATTACTTATCAGTTATCTATACAAACATTATAATGAGGAGAGATATACATTGATTGATTGTTTACATTAAATAGGCCCTGAAAGTATTAAACCGATTTGAATTTTTTTCACTGTTGAGAATCATAACTATTATGAGCTATATTTATTACTTTTTTTATTTTATGACAAAATCACGGTCAACTGCTCATTTATAGTTTGCTTGTTGTATTATTTTTTGGTAGGCGCCATATATCCATGAACCCCTGACACTAATTTAAGCGCCATGTAATATTTTACTGCAAAAAATTAAACAAGTAAAATGTCTAATTTAAAAAGTATCTATAATACAATTAATAACAAATGTGAATCCATTTCGATACTAGACATAAAAGAAATTCAACTAGTTTTTTACCTAAGAAAATTTCTAAAGAACTCCATGACAATAGACTGATTAAAAATAAATTGATTGTGAAACTTGCCATGGCGTTTTCACACACCCTGACAATTACAACGATTGTTTTATTGATGTGTCCATCTTCTTTGATAATTAACAATGTAGTAATTAATGTGACAATGAACAAGATGAGAAGTCACTATATAAAAGGAGGAGCAGGATATATGTGACAATGAGTTCGAGATCTGATCACAGGACACTCTCGCCATGTCGCGTATCGTAGTGAGTAAATCTTTGTTATAATTTAATTTATCTTGTTATATGTCTCATTTATTTACTTTTATTTTACATGTTGAATACTATCTTAACAGTAAACGTAATCAAGTTTTCGGGTTTTAGTTATAAGTTTTTTGTCCGTTTACATTTATTACGATACATCGTAAGTATATATAATAGTAGATTTTTAATTTTATTTTGTCTTTATAGATTGTTATGTGCCTCTTCGTGCTGGCGTCCGCAATGCCCAACGACGGGCACGAGCCAGGACACGAGGAGGGCGCAAAGCATCAGAAGATGCCTGACTCTGAAATGCCCAAACCACACGACCTTCCCAAAGTATCAGCTCCGCCGAAGCCTCTCGACAACAAGCCACAGCCGCCAGCCGCAATGGGCCATAACGAACAGAAGAATTAAAAATTATAAACTTATGACTTCGGCAACTCAACCGTACTAGCGATTTTTTAATGAAGTTATGTATGTATGTATCGCTTAATAAATGAATATATTGGTCGTAATTCAAGACATTTTTTTCTTGGTTAACTTACTAACAATTTAAAGTTTCTGCATATTTCAGGATTTTGTAAATACTTACCCTGTTCATTAACCTTACAGGTGGAAATGAATAAAACATATGATTTCTTTAAAAATGTATTTAAAAGATAAAAAATATTTACAAACCAGTCTTATTTTGTCCGCTAACCATTTCTACAAGAAGTTAAGAAATGGATGTAGAAATCTTATACTTTTTCTATCATTACGTACGGACCTGTGTCCATCTAGTGTTTGCCTACCAGCACAGCACCACCGTGCCAGCTGGCGCCGCCGTGACCCCAGCCGCCGGCATAGCCGCCCAGTCCCGAAGATTCCACCACGATACCCGCGGCAGCCGGTGCCACACCCACCACGGCTGCATTGCCGCCGCCTAGGACCACGCCGTCCTGAGCGTTTCTAGCTACGGCGTCGGCCACTGCCTGCGCCTGCGCCGCACTCGTAGCCACCGCAGCAGACTGAGCGCGCGCGGCATTGGCGATACGGGAGGCTTCCACTGCTCTGGTGTTAGCATAAGCGATGGCTTGCACACGTGCTGCGTTAGCGACGCGGTCAGCTTCCGCTGCGCGGGCTAATTCCAGTCCGGCCGCGGCAGCCGCTCGTCTCGCTGCCTCCGTAGCCCTGGCGTTCTCAAGGGCGGCGGCCTGGGCACGCTGCAGGCTAGCGACGCGGGCTGCGTCTAGGGCCTGGGCGTTTTGAATGGCATTGGCCTGTCGGGCGCGAGCGTCGGCCTCAGCGGCGCGGGCGGCCTGGATGCCGGCGGCGGCAGCGTTAGCGATCTGTGCAGCCTGCACGGCCTGGGCGTTCTGCAGCGCACTGAGCTGGGCAACACCAACGGCGGCCGCGTTGTTCAGGGCTGTGCCGCTGCCAAGCCCGGCGCCACCTACCACAGCCGTGGCAGGAGCAGCCACTACGGCGGTGGCGGGGGCCGCTACTACGGCAGGCCCGGCGATGATGCCAGCTGGTGCAAAGCCGCCGACAATTGCTCCACCGCCCAGTCCATGCCCTGAGCAAAGTAAAGTAAAATGTTAAATGTCATAAACCACCAAATCATTTTAACAATATTGTGAGTTATTACAACTTGTACCTACATATTATATAAACAGTTCGATTATTCAAAAATGATTACACCTCCTTAAAATAGCACCTCAAATAAGGACCTATTGGTGATGAGTAGATGTATTAATTGAAAGTTACATACATTCATCCTTTACAATAAATCCGTATTTAATTAATAGTTATAGGAGTTTAGACAGTCACACATGTTCCGGTGCTAACTACGGTAATTCGAAGTTTTGTATAATGTAAAATCGTTTAACTGTTTTACATACCATCTCCAAGAACTCCGGACGCCACGGCGACGACAAAGAAGATCTGTGGAATAAAATATTCTATTTTACGTCCTAATAAATAAAATTGAACTTAAAATTGTTATTTATAACTTTTAATATTCGATCTTAAAAAATATATTTCATATTCTCACCGTAAGACGGTACATCGTGGTTTGTTGCTGTAACAAGTTGCGCCACCGAGAGAGGCTGGTTGCTTATGCCTTCCTCAACATTGTTTACGCTTTTATACCACACTGAAAACTTAATTAGCAATTACAAACAGGCGACCGGAGCAGTTACAAACAAGATGCTGCTTTACTTGTTTTAACTCTTCATCCCTCTGCTTGGAAAACTATTCAAAGACTTGGTGGCAATATATGTGAACTGCAAGTTACTAATCCTAACACTTTTGAATTTGGATTGAGATATAGTTCCCTTTGTTTCGATAAGAAGCCTAAATTATATAAATTCCAATGGTGACCATAAAGATATGTGGCTTTCTCGTTATTTTGTGAAAATTGTGAGATAAAGTGAAAAGTAGGATTTAGTAGATATTTACATATTTTGGAATATACGCGATTCACCGTAAATTGTAGATCTATGTTAAAGATTTTCTATTGAAAGCGAGACAAAACTTTGAATAACGCATCTTATCTTAATTTCTACTCAATTTCTTCTCTTCGCTCTACAGGCCTTTGTGGTCGCTGGTTTGGTATCACTCTGTCTCTACTCTTGGACAGAGAGAGGCGTCACAGGTCTGCGAATGTCAATCTTGTCCCTGTTAACCCCTCGCCCCAAAGACATAGTAGGTAAGGGTTGCCATATTGTCTCTTTTTATAAAGAGCATGATAAGGATCAGATTTGTTATTTAATGCTTACATATTTATTTAATTTTTAGTAACTTATATTTATATGCATCTCACCCCTTTCAAATTGCCGTTACCCTTTCCATTATAAGTAATTTTAAAGATATTTCGACATATATTTATGACAGTCATAGCCCAGTTAAGGAATTGTTATTTTATGTGGACCTATCGTGATAAGCGGCACTTGACGAATGTTGTGTAGGGTTTTACTTATTTTACTCTAATAATGTCAGAGAAAATTAAACTAAAGATGACAACACTGGAGTATAACATAACTTTTAAAAATTTTTTTGGCAATAATTTTTACATGAAAGAGTTTCCTTATCGTCTATGTGTTTAGCTTAATAAATCTACTAATATTATAAATTCGAATGTTTAGATGGAGGTATGTTTTTTAGAAGAAATCTCCAAAAAGGCTCAACGGTCCTTGAAATTTGGCATAAATATCTGACGTGCGTAGGTCTGGGAGAACACATAGGTATTAAGTTTTTTTTAATCCGCGTGTAGGGAGTCGCGGGCGACAGCTACTAAATAACTAAATACGTAAATAAACAAATAATGAATGCATTTGTTTGCGGCATTACGGCAGAGGAACAGTACAGTCGAGTGGATAAGTGACTTAGTTTTAGTTATCTAAGGCAATTAATGCGCATAATCTGAGTTGCACGAACTGTTGTTACGCACATGTAATATTATTGCAATGAACCATGAATATACTGTCCCAATTCATTTACTAAACACAAATTGAATCATTAATATGCGATTTGCAATTTAATATACAATTTCATAACTAAACTGGTGAAGCATTTGATAGCAATAATAACGTTTATTAACTGCTAGCTGTCGCCCGCGACTCCGTCTGCGCAGAATTAAAAAAGTCAGTAGTGTATGTGTTCTACCAGACTATGTTCTACATATATACCGTTACATATATAGCCATTCTGGAGATGCCTTCAGACAAACATCCATCTATCCATACAAACATATAATATTAGTAAGATTTACTAACTGTGTGTTCACAGATTGTACAATTATAAAAACTTAATAGTCGCACATTAGTACAAATTCGACACAATTTCATTATAAGAAAAGTTTATGTTGCGTTAGCATACTGTGTAATTAATTGGAAATATTTATTCTAGGATCAAAATGTAGACATAAGGATTATTAAAAAGTGATAGTAAAAGTCGGAAATGGCTTTATTTTTAAATGTATTATTATAAATTACATTGTTCCAAATTGATACTACAACATGATTTGATGTAATTATTTTTGGCTAACAGTTTAATATCCATGCTCCTGGTAACCGCCGCGGTGACCTCCGAAGTTCCCTGGACCACCGTGTCCGTGACCACTTTGACCAGCGAAACCTCCCTGACCGCCGTGTCCAAATCCACCCTGGTTGTCAGGTCCGAATCCTTGTTGCCCTTGACCAGGACCAAAACCGCCTTGACTGCCGTGACCACTTTGGCCGCCTGGGCCAAAGCCTCCTTGACTGCCGTGACCACTTTGACCGCCTGGGCCAAATCCTCCTTGACTACCGTGACCACTTTGACCAAAACCGCCTTGGCCGCCGGAACCAAAGTTACCACCGTGTCCGCCTTGACCACCGCCGTAGTTACCTTGATCTTCTCCGTAACGGTATGGGGAACCTTAAAAATGTTTTTTTATTTTTTAGGACAATGCATCAAAAGCAAACAGAAATAAGAGCAACAAATCATATTATAAAACTGAATTGAATGAAAAATTTGATATCAAAATTGCTGCAACTGCAATAAGCATTTCAAAGTCAAATTTTAAACTAAACTTAAATATTATTACAGTATTTGATATCGTATAACTTAAAAGAACTAACACAAATATGTTGAAACACTAGTATAGTCGATAGTGGAAACAGTAACTTAGAAAATTGAGCACTAAGATAATATCTAAGTACTTGAATTGAGTCATTGTTTTGTTATAAAATGTTTACATCATACAATAGTTTATCAGATACTTTATAATAGTTCAAAGGTGATGTAGTTAATGTTTATAACAGTCTCTTGCAATTCGTAATCAATAGTCGTAAACGATATTTTCCGGTCTGTAGGGCGAAAATTATTAAAATCTACTTTATATATATTTTTTCAGTAACAAAATTTATAACATAGTTATTATAAAAACACACTCACCGTTAACGAGAACTACCATAGCTAGTATGCAAACAATCTGTAAAAGAAAACATTAAAAATATATAATTATAATGTTTATATAAATAACACTTTATATTTTTAATAGCAAAAGGTCGAGTTTATTTTGCGACTCTTCGGAGCATTAAAATTTTCAGTAGGCGCTTCTTAAATATAATAGCCGCTTGTGCTAACCTAACCTAACGTGCCAATTTTTTCTTTTACAAGGTATGTAAGTGTTCTAGTAATATATTTTTATAATCATTACATTACTCTGATGTTATTAATCAATTTATAAAATACTTATTCAGTTGGACTATTGGATTCGCGTACTCCTTATGCTATGAAAAACATCACTCAATCCAAATGGATCCTAGCGTTGCTTATAAAAAGCTAATTCGTTTTATGAACAAATTACTTGATATTTATTCAATAGTACTGTCCTACGTAAACCGTAAAAGAGACGCGATACTCCGCGACAAGAAGCGACTACGCGATTGTTGTGCGTAAAATATAATCTGAATTTGGGTACACAGATGGATCGATAGATGGGTATATGTTAGAAAGTATCTACAGGATGGCTTTATGGATCTCGCTTATATTGACATAGTTTTGGAAGAACACAAGGGGTAATAATTAGGTTTTTTTTGTAACGCGCGGACGACAGTTTAACATATACATAATTACAACTATTTTCGTGGTGTGTCAATTGTATCACATTTTTCGCTCACATAGGATAAATTAATATTTTCGTATTAATACTCACTTTAAACGCCATATTTGTAAAGTGCAAATGATTCGAATTGTACATCAAATGTGACAGCAGTTGTTGATGAGTACACCTTTTATAGATGTATTTATCTATCGCGCGCTGGCATCGCGACCTTTCCCCTTTCATCTTTACGCTAAATTATTGTTTTTTTGTTTATTATATTGTCTATATGATTCCGTAATATTTACTGCCAGTTATAAAAAGTACTTATTTTTTTTTTTATTTTCCTAAAAAACTATTGAAATGTTTAAAATATTCATATAGTGCTGTGAACTGCCACAATCCATCTAAGTTTTTTTTTAATATAAAATATTAGCAGATTTTTTTGTAAATTTACTAATATTTCTTTTATCATTCCGACTAAGCTCTAGGCTTGTGCTAGCATATGGTTTACGACAATAATCGAATGGCGGGATTCGAACCCCCGACCTCGTGATCGAAAATCCGTACACTTAAACATTAGGCTATTGACGCTTAAATGTCTATATAATAATATATAAATGTCTATATAATATACTGATGTTATAGGTGATGAACCTTGTTGTCTCGTTTACCACGTTTATAAATACTAAAAAATTCCATACTTAAAATGTTAATGATAGCACGAGTTTTGATCAGTGTTGTTCCTACAGTTCAGTTAATAAGAGCTGCTTTTGTATACTTAACAGTAAATTCATTCCGAATTTTCCAACACCCCGAACTATTTCTTAAGCATTTTTCACCAGAAACAATTTAAAGAATATAATAAGCAGTAATTGATGCAATAGTTGTATTTATTAAGTTCAAATAATATTTACACAACCTGTTGTAATGTATCTGCCGCTAACCATTTCTCAGTGACGTGATGAAATGGATGTAGAAATCTTAACATCTTAATATCGAGTACTTTATCACTACAGTATTTTAGTGTTTGCCGTATCCGCCGTAGCCGCCGCCGTAGTTACCGCCGTAATTGCCGCCGTAGTTGCCGCCGTAGCCGCCGCCGTAACCACCGCCGATTCCCCAGGATCCACCGTAGCCTCCAAGACCGCCCAGACCACCGAGACCGCTGGAGCCGATCACCACGCCGGCCGAAGCTGGCGCTACACCCACCACAGCGGTATTGCCACCACCGCCGAGCAGAAGACCCTCCTGAGCGTTCCTAGCTACGGCGTCGGCCACCGCCTGCGCTTGCGCCGCGCTTGTAGCCACTGCGGCAGATTGAGCGCGGGCGGCGTTGGCGATACGGGAGGCTTCCACTGCTCTGGTGTTGGCATAAGCGATGGCTTGTACACGTGCTGCGTTAGCGACGCGGTCAGCTTCTGCGGCGCGGGCTAATTCAAGTCCAGCCGCGGCTGCCGCTCGTCTCGCTGCCTCCGTAGCCCTGGCGTTTTCAAGAGCGGCGGCCTGGGCGCGTTGTAAATTGGCGACACGTGCGGCGTCCAAAGCCTGAGCGTTTTGAATGGCGTTTGCTTGTCTGCCGCGGGCGTCGGCCTCAGCGACTCGGGCACCCTGGATAGCGGCGGCCGCAGCGTTAGCGATCTGAGCGGCCTGAACTGCCTGTGCATTTTGGATGGCGCTGAGCTGAGCGGCGCCCACAGCGGCGGCATTGTTGAGTGCCGCTCCTCCTCCGAGACCGTTGCCGATGCCTCCGAGCCCGGCGCCACCCACAATAGCAGAACCCGCTGCGACGGCGGGCGCGGTCACGATGCCGGCGGGCGCGAGACCGCCGCCCAGACCGCCTAGGCCGCCACCAAGCACGTTTGAGTACAGCCCGGACGCGGCCGCGCTTGAATCTTTGGCGCCTTTAGCTAAACCAGAAAGTAAAATACAGAAATATAATTAAGAACAAATTAACATCTTACAATGAAAACCTAACTTAAACATTATACTCTGTTACTTACCATCTGCAAAAACTTCGTACGTCACAGCGAGGATAAAGAAAATCTGGAAATATAACTTTGCATTAGAATATTTTCGACTTACTGTGAAAGCGATACAAATGAAACGATACGACGAAAATGATACAATATATTTAATTTGAGTTTTAAAATGTTCTAACCGTAAGTCGAGACATGTCTTCGGCGTGTGGTTCGGCTACCTGCGATGTGCACTGGATAAAGGTGATTGCAATTATGCCTTTATCGTGCATGTAAGCGCTTTTATACCTCGCTGAAAAATTATTACAATCGATTAACAATTCTAAACGGGCGTCCTATTTGAATATGATTAGCCGGTGTAAGAATCGGCGCGGTCGGAACAGAAACCACATACGCATCCGACAATAGTTTACATCCCTTAACGGCAATCGTGGCCTTCTCAAACTGAAAACGGAATCCTTTACGTGGAAAGTTTTACATTCGATTACTTAATCAGCTATTAAGGTAAAGATTGTACATGCTGTTGCCCCAAATTCAATTCATTATGGCCCACCTCGATAATCTCTAGAAGCATAGGACATTTCTTTATTTAGCTTTTTCAGTGTTTGTAAAGAATTTTCCAACATACTCTATAACCGTTTGAAAAATTTAAAGCTTGAGATAAGACACAACTTAGGATAATCAAGACTACATTACTTATATTCTCAACTTCTCACACTTTGTGTTTATTGTCTATAAATCTTACTTATGTTTTTTGCTCATTAAAAATTAAACAGTCAAATTAATGCATCGTGTACATGGTCAAAGGATTTGTTTAATGTAAATCTGAATTTGTAAATCGACCTCCTTTAATACAAATGCAGTGGGAAAACTGCATGTCGACAAGACCTATTACGCCTACTATTTAAAAAAAAACGAATTTATACGTTAAACCGGTGATTGCGTTGCGTGTCGCTTGCATTCCATTATTCAATAATAAATAGTGTTAGCTATGGCAATAAATTATTTCTAAATCTATTGTGTTTATTTCGTATTAACCGCGAAAGTAGTATATACTTTTTATGTATATAACTCTCTCTTGGGTCGGTTCCTCATGCCTTAGGATTATGGTAAGCTGTAGGTTTACATCTGAAGCGAATGATTTACTTCCAGGGTTTGTCACGGCTATGTAGAACTTATTGAACTGGTCTTTTATTATACTTGGTCGCTCCATCTAGTCTGCAAGCAATCACAGTGTCTTTTGCCTTAAGTGTTACCAACCACGGCAAATTCCTGTAAACTTTCGTCTCTGCGCATTCTATGGCTGAAGTATGAAAGAAATTCCTTTATCCATATATATTGTTTTAAGAAAGCTGATGTTAGTTTTAACATTTTTGCTATTTTATTTTTCTAGGCGTTTTATTTTTATCGTATTATCAGACGCCTCAGATTTGTCTCCACCAAGAGTATTTGCTAATGCTAAGTTCTTGATATTCTACGTTTATTTTGTAAAATACCTGATTCTATCCTTTAGATTGTTTGAAATATAAGAGTTATTTTTAATATATTTTTTTTACTTTATTGTGTTCCATTTTCTTGGAGGAAATATTCGATTGCTTGCATTGGATAGGCTCTAAAACTACTGAAACGATTTCAAAAATTATTTGACTGTTTGAAAGCTTCACTACCTCCGGGTGACATAGACTATATTTTTACGAACTTATTTTAATTGCGCGCAGACAAAGTCGCGGGCAATTGCTAGTTTATTGTAAAAAAGGATATTTAAAGAGTATTTTTTTTTCTTAACAATTTAATATGACTTAGTAATAATTCACAAATTTACAACTTAAGACTATTTTTTTATTAGAAAGTCACACATTTTTTCATCTATAATGTGGTTCGGAGTAAGATTCATAATGGTACAGTTGTTGAGGGTACCTAGAAAAAAAAATTAGATTCAAAAACATGTGGTCATCTTTAATATTCTGTTTGGTAAAAACTAAGGGCTATATATATTTTGGTTTCAATGTTTTGACAATAGAAAACTAGGACATTCAACTCTGTATACATACTCATGGTAATTGGGCTCATGATATGAAGATACATGGGCTTGATGATGATATGTTGGCTCATGTAGAGTTTCGACAGAATGCGGGTGGTCGTAGTAATACCCATGGTCGAAGTGCGGGACCTAAAAGTATAGAATATATTATTACATAAGTTTACTGATTTTTACAGTCTTACTTTTAAGAACGACCTCATTACTATGCCAGATTTGACAATTATAAACCATAGACTGAACATTTAAAACAATGAACGTTTAAACTCGTAAACTCCAAAATATATCTGGAAAAACACCTTTTCTCATATAACTACGACAATTGCTAACTTATAATATAATATTTCTTCACTTTATCTCATAATTTTCTCAATAGATTTCTCAAAGCTGTCTGAAGCGGTGGGCATAAGTCAAATCAAATTATGACCGCTCACTAGCGCCCCATTGTCAACGTCAAGAAATGCCACAAGATTCTCTTTCGACTGTCATGTCATTTTTTTCCTTATATGTCATGTTCTAAGTCCAAGTAGGTTTTATATATATTCTGTTAGAATCAACATTGATAGCAGCGCCTCTCATCGGACCAGGAACAAGTCTTTCCTATCTGTTCGAAATATAAAAAAAAAACCCATAATAGTATAGTTCCTATGCATGCGCTATGATATTTGAATAACGGTTGTTTTTATACTTTTTTCCAACAATCTGTTAATAAGTAAATGAATAATATATTGTGTGACATATTTATCGTTAATATTTCTTTTTGTTTACATCTAGTTATTTTTCCTGGACATATATATTTATCATAACAAATTCGTGGAATAGTTTATATGATGAGGGCGCCGACCTGACTTATGTCACGAAACAGTTATCGAGATAAGATTTGACGAAATCATAACAATAAACAAACAAATTATAAGTATAAAAATTAGTTTTGTCTATAACTCTTTGATTATAAAAAAAAACAAAACATATGATTTGCTGTTTTGAACTTTATACCTAAACCTATACAGTAAAGTCATTCCGAATGTGGCCTCGATTCAATTTGACCAATATTGTTATCACTGCTTTGAACTACTACTGTACCATTATATTACATTCTCTTAAAAGCGACTTTTTATCTTCACTCTGCTCTTTGAAAATCACCTCTAATTAACGCTTTAGTTATATGGATCTTAATCAAGTTGGTATTCTATCGTGTTCGTGGTCAAAGTCAATCCTTACGTGTGGTTGTTCGATGTAAGTCTCCTCGTATTCAGCGTGCGGTTTGTGCGCGACCACCGCGGCGCCGAGAGCTGCACCCGCGCCGAACGATACCCCATGGGCAGCCGTCTTTAAAGCCACGTCTGAAACATTACACAGAACACTCAGAGCAGTTATAACTAATTATTTGTTTGTAAATATTTTTTTGCAGTAAGTACAATACGGTTAAAGAGCGAGCTTAACTAACGAAATTATATCTGCAATAAGGTAAAAGGTCGATGCATTTTGAAGTCTGTCTTTATTCATCGGAGGAAAAGATGTATAGGAAAATTATATTCCCCTATCCCTTTTCCGTCAAATCCACTTCCCCTTTCCATCCCTTCAAAGGACTAGAGTTGGCCCCTGACATCAACTGCCGTTGTTGTTACGTAGAGGTTGAAATCGGACGGATTACAATTACGAGTTCCTTACTTTTAAGAAAGGCTCCTTTAGCCACTAGAGCACCTTTCAGTGCAGTGGTGACTTTCTTGATAAGTAGGGCTCCAGCGCCGGCGGCGGCCGCACCCTTGATGGCACCCTTGACAGCCCCTAGGGCTCCACCCACGACAGCCACCTTTACCACAGGCACTGGCCTCACGCTCGGCAGTACGCACGATAAGCACACCGCCTGAAATAATTCAATTAATTTTGTGGGAAAAGCAAATCTTCTTACTACCGCTTAGTAACTTTTTTCTCAATTTAGATTATTCTTCAAAAAGGTTTTATAGGTTAGTTAAATAATAAATTACGTCTTATGCCACTACAGTTAACTTATAAACCACCTTCAAACTTTCAAATTAACGAATTTAAAGTAGCATTTCACAATTCGCGTAAATGAATAATTCATTAAGTGTTTAGTAATTATTATGCTTAATGGTTTAAGGCGTGTACGCACGAAAATTTCTTAATTAATTTCTCGAAAATATCCTTCCTCTTTATGTTTGTTTAACAGTCTTTGGTGAGAATAATCTATGTCAGTCTTTATCACATTGTTTTAATCGGACCCATGGGGATCCAAGAAAGAATGTTGTAACTTTAAGCTTTGTATGTGGCAATAAATGTTCTTCTTTTTTGAAGACATAGGGGGAGTGAAATAAAGTTGAGGAAAACCAATCAAATTCTACGTCTACGGGAAACCAAAATTAGACAATCTCTGATATATTCCAAGCGCCGGCGAAGGTAAACTTTCTGAGAGCATGATGTATGTCAATCAAATAGAAGCCTCCAGCAATAGGTCAGTCGGCAACTCTGCCGACGAAAACGAGTGAGTCAGACGTATGAGGAAAGATTTTATGTCTTCAACAAATATCTTGAGTTATGTTAAAATCGTTTAAAACGATTGAAATAGGAATTGCAAAATATCGATGATTATTATTATGTTAACGGCGATAGTTTCTCTATTTGGTTTACGTATAATGTTTTAAATATGGGGTGGGTCATGGCTATTTCATACAACAAAGATGTCAAAATATTTCGACATTTAACATGCCTAATAATACTTAATAATATTTATTTATTATAAATATACCAAATTATAAATTACTAAATTTATATCAATCATTGAGTGTTCCAAGCATTATTCAAATATTAATGTAATCCGCATTTCAATATGCGTGGATAACGATATCTTTACACTGACCTTTAAGGGTAGTTACATAAATTTGTTACAAAATTCACAAACACCACCTTGACAGACTTATAACAATGTAATACAACAGATTATATTACGACTTACCACAAGAATGGCAACCCTGAACTCCATTTTTCCTGTAATAAATCCAAATTAACCAATATAACACTGGTACAACGTAATTATTGATGTAGGAAGAAAATGCCGTAGGTTTCCATTGTCAAAATACATATACCAAAACATAAATATGTAGTCATTTCTACCATTTTATTTGAAAATTGTATTACTACCAGAAATATAAAACACCTCACTATGTCGCGGAAAGACATAGGACTTAATTCTTTACGTATTTAGAAAAGGCAATGTAATTAAGGAGGCGAGTTAGGCGTTTTCTAATAGGTTTTCTATTTTCTTGGTTAGACTGTAAATAATGTTTTTGTGCAATGGAAACGCACTGTAGTACATGTTCTACGCAATACGGACATATAGTGAAATCAGATTGAAATGTATCATTAAATATAGATAGACGTCATTGCCGCTAAGTTTCTTATGAAACATTACTTCATTCCATTCTTTATAAGTACTGTTTGAATAACTTGATACAAAATAATTTTGTCTATGGTCAAGTATTTATAAATTTGAACAAAAAAATCAGAGTATTAGTAGATAATTACTTTTGGACTCTATGGATGTAAAATTTTACTGCTACCACAATTAAAAATTAATTTTAAAATTATTTCCAATCTTTAATACTCACATATTAAAAGCAATAGTTTCATATCCCGGGCTAAATGTTATATTTTCGATAAGAACATATACACGAAAATGTAAACAAGAAGTTTGTTTTGACGCGGAAAGAACCCACAATTCAATTCATTAAAGTCAGATATAACCTATCAACCATATCGTATAACATTACATCTTTGTTTTAGGTTAATAGAAAATAAAAAAGACAGAGTTTAAGTACCTTAAAATCCCTTTCAATTAGATGTTGTCACTTAAAATAGGTTAAAAAGCACACAGCACTACTTTTAGTTAAATTTTACAGCAGGGGACTAAACGAACTGATATTCTTTCAACGTTTGATCATCATAAGCATAAGACTAAGAGCTCAAGAGCACGGGTGGGGCCCACGTTACGAGATCAACGCAACGAAATGTTACTCAATCATTTTCGAACGTAGTAAATTACGTGTGCCTTTTTGAGATCGCAAGAGAATATAGTACGTTAATAAAGTAATAGAAAAAAAAAAGAAAACTTAAAGTGCCTGCAGGTAAATGTGGTAATTCGTAACAGAAAACTTAAGAGGTACTTTTACAAGACATAATTTTGCGCAATGTAGGATATTCCATGGTTAAGGTCAAACACTCATCAATTCGGTGCATACAATAAGATTGGATCAAATCAAGCGATGATAGATTTTTAGTTTACTAAATTGTTATTGATCTAGATGTCTGTAGTAGTTCTTGTTAGTTTTTTTCATTTTAGTACGTTACATTAAAAACATTTGCCGATGAAATATATCAGGCGTTTTTTGTTTATATTATTTCAAATAAGGAAATAATCAACAATAAAGATATAAGAGCGGTAATCGATAGACATTTTAGGAATTATTGCAAATATATTTTCCAAGGAGTTCTAAAAAAGTAGAAAGAACAAAAGTCTTACGGTTCTGTCGAGTTAGCCTATATTTGTTAATAGTTGAACACAATCCTTTTCCAACAAAGAGTCGACATTTTAATTTCTCACACGCGTTTGTTTTCCCACGTCGTTTCCTATCATGGTAAAACACAGTTGCTTAACAATTTCGATAAAAACCTTACCTTTGAAATATTCACGAATAAGACTAGAATTCATAACACAATATTTAGTTCAGACATACCGTTATTCTGTTAGCGAAGATGTACAAACAAACAGACATAACTGTGATATTACCCGAGTTCAATAGTACACAGTGCAATGACTTTTCTTTGTTTTTCTTTGTTTTTCTATTGATAACATTATCTTGCTAGTACTGTAGTTATTAACCTTCATATTAATTGCAATTTACATGCAAAACTAACAAAATACAATCGCCTTCCTAGTTTATTTAAGTTATTCACAACGTATTTTATTGACCATGTCTTTATTAACGTAATGGTAATTAATAATCCGAATTTTTATTTACCAAACTAAAATATTTCACCTGAACGTCATATGAAGATAAATTCCAATGGATACTATAATTTAATACATTGAGCCCATGTATTCATTTGTATATATTACTTCTTACTAATATTCAAATGCGAGTGTTTGGATGGATGTTCGTTTGAAAGTATCTCCAGAGAGGCTGCATTGATCGCGTTGAAATTTGGCATAGATGTAGAACATAGCCTGATAAAACATATAGGCCACTCATTAAGTTTTTTTTAATTCTGCGCGGACAGAGTCACGGGCGATAGCTAGTAATTATAATAATGCATCGATTGTTACGATATTTTATATAATTATAAGTAAATAAAGAATTATATAAATACATCAGCATCGATTGATCCACTAGGATTTGCTTTATTAAGTTAAAAAGCAATAGAAATGATTTTTCAGAATAATGTTAGTGTCACATATGTAAACGGTCAAAATAAGCTCTAATTTTCTCGCCCTACATAAAGATTATAGAAAACTATAGAGTAGTTAAATTAATTTACAGTACATATTTTACTTTACATAAACTAATCTGTTTGTATGCTGCAGATCTAATATAAGATCTGATACCAATTCCACCAATAAAAAGATATATATAAAAATAAAATAAAATGTTAAACCTAAACAACCTATACTTCGCAAAAATTTCAAAACACGTGAAAGTTGTCAAGGAAAACATATGCGCCTAAAATGTGCCAAAAATCCCCAATTGGTAAAAATATGGATATCCCGTTTTCTATTAAACTTACTATTTACTGTTACTGACGACTCCATTATACTTTGTTCCGAAAAAAGTAGACCGTTTACACACTAGCAATATAAATGTAAAGACCGTGAACAAGTTCATCTTATTATTGCATTTCATCTTAACATACGTCAATTTTATATTATAATGTTTTATTTTGAATATATTCTAATATCTTGTGATTCAATGTGAGCAATGGAGGCCGTTAAACTCTTCTTGCTAAAGGTTAGTATATTTTCTCCTAAAAATTAGTATTATGTCTATAAATTAATAACCGGGTAGTGTATCAGTGATTCCCAAAGTTGTAAAAGTCCGTGTAGGTCTAGGTTAGTTGTGTAGGTTTTCCAGGCGTTTTTAAAATAGCGGGAAATAAGGTCAAACGTTCATAACTTCAACAATAAATAAAACAGAAGGATTAGCAAAATTTTAAAAAGTGTTATAGAAAATAAATTGTGAATATCTGGTGTACTTAAGCTAGCCTTATTTAAATACACTTAATTTGTATATTGTTACGGTGACCACTTCTACTCGTTCCGATGACTAAACAAAGTGTTAGATTCAGGTAACTTAACACGTCTGAATTTATAATCCAAATAGTTTTTTTACAATTTTTATAATTTGATTGAAAAATGCCACGCCAATTTTAACTACAATAGACTATTGTAAAAGAAACATGTATAATTTACAGTGGTAGAGCGCGCGTTACCTTCGCATTTAGCCGCTCGGTGAAATACCACGAACACACAGAAGACAAGCGTGAAGTGGAAGCAATACCGCTTACAGTCTGATGAGTGTGCGTCCCGAAAACCTAATATTAGTCCTCTTTTCTTTTCCACCCTTTTTCTTATTAGGAAAGGATGGGAAGTGAGTGTAGATTTTCCGTATGAGAGGTTGCATGGGAAGGGAAAATATTCCCTTTCTGTGCATCCCCTCCTCCGTCGATTAAAACCGATTTAAGTCGATTGAAGGAACAGTCATTTCGCTATTTCAGCGATTTCAGGTGGCCGCTCTTTTGCCACCTTATGATATAAAAAAAATATAGTAACAATTTTAAATTCTCATCGTATTCCAGATAATCCTGTCGGCAGTGTTATTCAATATTGTGGTAGCAGCAACGAAGAACAACTATAAGTATAGAAATGGCATGTCGAACGAAGTATATGATCACAGGACAACAAATAGAAACACAAATCACAGATCATCTACCGCTGCATCCCAGAGAAAATGGTCGAACAAAGCATCAAGCTACGCACCCCAAGGTTTACCGCCGTACTTAGTTTATAACAGAAAATTAGGCTCCTACTTCCCATATTACCCACAACAGAATAACATACGAAGAAATGCTATTAATGAGTCAAATCGCAAACAATGGAATCATTAAATTATATTAGATAAAAGACTGCTTGTATAAATAAATCCAGCTTACAATTATTTTATGCTTTTTGTATTTCATTTATTACTTTTGTAAGTACAGTAATAGATATAAGAGTACATGCAAATAAACTTGTCGCGGAATTATCAAAAAAAATAGTAATAGTAGTAGCCAATGTGTTCTTTCATCTGTGGCGAATGTCAACAAAATCCGTTGTGGCGTTCTGGAGATACCTTCTCACAAACATCCATCCATATAAACTTTCGCATTTATAATATTAATAAAATAAGTTTATGCAGGTGCCAACACATGTGGTATTTACATAATTTACGTATTGCAAAGCAAACTGCGAACTTATTACGTTTTTAACATAATTATATTATAATTAAACATCGGCCACATATAACTTGCAATAAGAGCTACTTATGTCTTCTGTTTTCGTATATATTATTAAATAAATTTATACTAGCTGTCGCCCGTGACTACGTCCGCGCGGAATTAAAATATTAAGATTAATATGTAAATTCTAAATAGACACCAAGACTGCTCAAGAAGTACATATGTACCTAAGTACAATTTTATGACCACATTGTTATTAAATAAGAGATAATTTTATGTACAATCGGTGTTTTATTTATATAATAAAGTGCATATAACTTATTTATATTAAAAAGAATAATATTATTGTAATAAAGACAAGATTTAAATAAAATTGTTAGGAAATACCAATTGTTTTGTTTGGTTGGGAAAAAGTATAATATCTTGGGGAAGGCAACAAGATATGTTTTTATGACGCATGCAAATAGTTAATTATAATTATAATTTTATATACTAATATTATAATACGAAATTATTTTGTTATGCTTAATGTGTAAACTCTACTACAGTCATCAAATGTTTATTTTCTCTTCGCGAGATTTATAGAATATTATTACATTTATTCTTCTTCTTTATCTTTGGCCTAATTATTGGCACAATTATTACTTTTATTAAAAATATTCTACATCTATGTCAAATTTTAGCCGGACTGTTCAATCGTACTAGAGATACCTTCAAACAAACGTCCATCCATCCATCCATGTAAACATTCGCATTTATAATATTAATAAGATTTCCAATATTAAAATTTTATCGGAATAACATTTGTGCGATCCGAACCCGCCGAGACGAAAGACAATATCACTGAGCCATATTTTTTAGCATTTTGACCTACGCTTGGCAGCTAAATGATACACGTAATGAATAACTTATAGTCCAACAAACATATCTGGCCCGGTGAGTGGGGCTCTGCTTTCGCAGTTACTTCTATCGTAAAATATTAATAATAGTTATCGCCGGTGACTCCGTCCGCGGAATTTTTCTTCCAAACTATGTTCTACATCTATGACGAATTTCATCAAGATCCGTTCAGCCACTCTGTAGATACCTTCAAACACACATCCATCCAAACATTCATTTATAATATTAATAAGATAGTATTCAGGAATAGAAAATGACATAAAAAAAATGATACGACAGCTACAGTACGATATGGATCTATGACACTTTTTAATAACAACAAAGGGGCGGAAATGAGCTATTTTAATGTCACTTATTCCCACCGGGTCACATAAATTTAGCGGTCTATAATAACGAGAAATGATACAACTACGCATTAGTACTAAATGTAAAAAATTAAAATTATGGATTCATCTGACGCATGTGACTATCCCGAAGTCTTGAGGAAAATTGTCCTATAAAACCCCAATGCTTAAAAAAAACCGGCTTTCATTTGATTTATTTTCATAGTAAAATAAAAAACAACGGACCTGTTCTCACAGCATCTTGTTTTTAAATATATCATAACCTGCCGTCGCGTATCGCACACAATTGTCAACTTATCATGTCGCAGCGAAACTTGAAATTTGATCACAATTAAAAACTACTTTAATTCACTTTGCATAAAGAAAACTCTTGATAAAATCTACTTTTAAAAGAACGAAATATTATTATATTTTATTAGATAGAATGTTTGTATTATTTCGAAATTAAACCTAATAATAACTTACAGTTAAACAAGCTGGATTTGTAGAATTTCTTGTTTTGTGGTAATATATATAATTAAACGAAGGAAATAGTAAAAATGGAGCTTGTAGAGATAAGTCCGTTAAATTTTCACGCAAATTTTTCATATCTTTAAATGAAAATTTCGTATTTCTAAACAGTTTTCATTTCAAATTAACAATTACAAATCGGTAAACAATTCATAAACAGTACGTGTATAAAGAGAAAAAATGAAAGAGAAAAAAATATTGGCAAGTTAAGTTTTTGCCGAGTATGAATATTGTCTGTAACATGGATTGTTGTCAATATAATTATAAAATCCACACCACATGAGGTCAAGTCATACGGATTTCCAGCTTCTTCTCTATATAAACCGAGAGGCAATAGGCTCGGGATTACTTGTAGTTAGGTTACCGTTAACTTTATACGTTTTTTATATAAAAAATGAATAAGTTTCTGGTAAGTTGATCACTATTTTTCCCGCCATAAAACATAGAAAATTTCTTCTTCAGCTAGCTAACTGGATACAACGTATTATTTACAAAAAAAATGTTTTTTTTTTACAGATAATATCATTAGCATTAGTTTCTGTGGTCGCGGCTCGGCCAGGTGAGTCATTTATTTATTTGTACGTGAACTAGGTGCAAAATAGAAAAAAAAACATCTAAGTATACGATTTCAATACAATGCGGTTAGTCAAATAGATTTCGAAGAACTTTGATATTTATAATATTGCTTTTAATCCAGTTAATTTGGAATAACTTTTTCAAGATCGACAAAAGCATTTACGAACAGGCTTTATTTAATTAAGATGAAATTTACATTTTAGTTCCAAATTATTTACCTTTCATTATTTTTATTACTAATAAAATAAAATTTATAATAGTAATTTATTATGGAGACTTTTATTCAAAGCAAAATATTTGATTTGGTTTGATATCAAACCAAATATTTTGCTTTTGTAGTTAGTCTTTTCAATACCTCTCTCTCTCACGTAAATATCTATAATACATAGATTAGGTTTCATTAGTTTTAAGCGAATAGCCTTTTATATTATATATTTACAAACCGAGTACCCCAAACTTCTATGAGTACTTATCGCTATCTTTATCTCTTGAAGAATTTATTCTATTCATATACGTTGTGTACTTTACTGGTCAATTTTTACAGGATACGGAAGTGTACACAGTAGTGAAGACTCGGACATCAGCCACGAGGAATACGGCGGTAAGCACGATGGACACGTGAACTGGCACGTCGGCTACGGAGTGGGACACGTCGCCGGTGCAGTGCAGGAAAATGCCGGTACAACAGCGGATCATGGCAGTAAAACAGCGGAACATGCGGGTACTACAGCGGAACATGGCGGCTCTACAGCGGAACATGCCGGCACTGGACAGCAACATGGCGTTGGCGGCGTCAGTGTTGGTACCGAGCACGCAAGCACCAGTTTAAGAATGGGACACGTGAGCAGTGATGCGGGAAAAGTACACAGCTATTACAGTGGTGGTACCAGCGTAGGGATGGCACTCGCCAAAGGCGGCCGCCGTAAACCTAACGGATTGGGACATGGACACGGAGTCTACGGTCACAGCGGCACCAGCATAGGAGTCGCGCTCTCCAGAGGTAGTGCCACTAAAGTCGCAACAGCAGCGAGCGTTGGGCGCAGCAGCAGTGTCGGACAAGGCGGCCACAGTTTGGGAACCGGTCATGGATCAACTCACGGCACAAGCACCGGACATTCCGCGCAGACCTTCGGTCATGGAACTGAACATGGATCTAAACAAGTATCGGAGCATGGATTCGAAAAGGGATCGAGTCATGGACATGGACACGGATACGAATCTGGTCACGGATTCGAACATGGACATGGTCAAGGATACGAACACGGTGGTTATTTTGGTCACAACACGGGTTACAGCGGTGAAGACTTCGGAGATAGTGGCGAAGAAAATCACGGGGCCCATGAACATTATTAGACAATAGAATTATTTAACGGTACAAAAATGTTGCATAGTACATAAGAAAAAAGGAACTGTTAGAATTTAATAACAAGAATGTGAAATTCGATAACATTAAAAACTACGGTAATAATTATGTCAAATGTCACTTATTATCCCAGAAGTTTTAGTTAAAAGATGGATCGTTTCATTATTAGTACTTTTTTCCGGTCGTGTGTATTCTGATCTCCATGCTTAACATACAAACTACGTTCTTAGCGCCTTAAGATACCTTGCGCCACTGCAGGTTATGTTTGGACTACATTACTTTTTTATTTTAAATTGATAAAAGTTTTAAAATTAAGAAGTTCAAAGTAGCTATTGAAAAAGCGGCTTGGCATATCTAACAAATGAATGATACATATCAAATACCAGTGAAACGAAAGTGTACACTAATTAAACTTTCAAATTTCAAGGACACTTAAAAAATAAGAGTTAAGCTTACTTTACAATTATAACGTTTGAAAGTTTACGAAATATCCCCAAGGTTGAACCTTTTTTATTTCGTTCAGAATTGTTAAATTAATTGAAAGAATATCAAGATTTACGTATATGAAGAAAGCTTAATTGCGTCTGCTGTTAAGAAATGTACAGTACTTTTACTGAACCAACAGATTATACTGTTTACACAGTGTCACAAATCTCGAGCGTGAAAGCTAAGGTTTGATGCTACCGCCTTGACCATACTTTTTTAATAATAAATAAAAATATAGAAATAAGGATTATGTATGTTATTGTAAAACACTAATGTCATTTGAAATATGGAATAATATGCAATAAATAGTACAGACCAAGAGTCTGTAGATACCGTTACCGATACCGTAAAAAAAAAGGCAAAGGCATGGTAAAAAAAGCAGGGTGCCGTAGAAATCTCACCCAGGGAGCTACTAGAGCTAAAACAGTTACAACGCATTGTCATCCCCTACTTAGGTTTTGATTGCAGTTATATTAACACACGTATTGTCCTTATTTCTTTAAAGAAAATATTAGGAATAACAAAATATACAAGTGTGACTGCAGTCGACACCTACAGTAAAACTGTGCAGTTAATACTGAATGTCTGCAGCCGGCTTTATGTTACCACAGTTATTGTCATTTGGAGTTAGCGAAATTCATCGTAATTTATCCCTCTAAATGTACCCTGACTTTACAGTATTGACCCTCAAAATCGATGTGCAGTACTGGTTATATGGCTCCTCCAGAGATCGTAACATATATCGGCACGCCACTTATCTTCGGTTCCGGAATAAAATATTTCATTGTATAAACAATGTTGTTTTTTTTATAACCGGTTGTCTCTGATACGTGCTAACGTTGTTTAATGAAAGAAATAAGAACACATTTTTTGTATGAAAAAGTGTTTGTTTCTCGCAATTTTGATTCATTGAACAAGGCTGGAAAAAACCCCCAAGTGAGTCATGAAACTAATTTGTCTACTTCGAAATAAACACAAATTACATCGGCGATACGCAGATTATTGTTATAAAAATACTATAGCATAAAAATTGTAGTAAATAATAGGCTTTTCTTTCTAACTTCAAGGTACAGTGAGAAATTTGACATAGCTGTAGTTTTATTAGTAAGTTATCAATTAATTTTTGCTATTCCTCTTAAACATTCCAATATAAAGAAGCTAAATAAAAATAAACATCTAAATTTTTTTCTGCAAAGTGTTAGAAGGGGAAGTGTATTTGACGGGGAGTAGATGTATAGGAAAGAAAAATAGTTTTTAAGCATGAGAAATATTCTCTGTCCTTTCAGGATAGACAACACATCTGCTACTTTCAAACTTATTGAAGATGTCTATGGGCGGCAGTTACATCGCTTTTAGTTATATCAGGTGGCCGCTATAAAAAAAGCAATAATTCTCAGCTAAAGCGTTTCTTTTATATTATTACTTTTAAATTCTTAATTACTGTTTAGACGATCGGAAGAAAACCGGTCGACCAGGTAAATTATATTTTTTTTTACTTGCGAATTTGTCTTGGATGTTTGGGTTCAAGGATATACGAATACTATTAAACTTGAAAACGTTGAAACCCCTGGTTATTGCTATGCTGAGATTAATCATGGGTTTCTGAGATCGAAATCTCCGTTTAAAATATATTGTTATTTCTGTTTTATCAACGATAATAAAAAGGATGACGATATGTTTCATACCGAAAGTCTCAGGTTTCAGAAACCAACGATAGGACGCGCTAAGCGACTAATAATGATGCGTTATGAAAAAGTGTCTTAAACCACGGATAACAAGAGTAAACACCCACTAGGCCTAAACTCAAGTGTAATCCGGTAGACCTAGAGATAGGTACTCTATGTACCCAGCTGTGAACTATCCACCTGGTAAATTATATGAAAAAGTGGATTGGAAGAAAAAAAATATCGATTAAACCGAATATTAATATAAAACTAATCAAATAACATCGCGATTAAACCAAAGTTTTTGCTACGGCAGTATATTGGTACGGTTGAATAAACGATACGGTTCACAGCAACTTTGAACTCATAGTTTTTTTGGTCTATTTTATTTATGGCAACAAATAAACGTAGTCCTTTAGCACTTGTGTGTTAAATAAAAAATGTATGTAATTAATTTCAGTTTTAGCGTAAATTTCGACATAACATTTACAAGTCCCAAATAAAAATATAGACTTTTCTTTATTATATTTATGAATAAATTTTACTTAAGGACTTTGTCCGTGTGTTACATTTTATCTCCGACTAGCTGTCGCCCGCGACTTCGTCCGCGTGGATATATTAAAAAAACTTAATTAGTGTAGCCCACCCATCCATGCACATCACATACATCTAAACATTCGCATTTATAATATAGGTAAGTTAAATAAAAAAAACGAAAAAAAATAGTATCTTATGCCCGTCTCCTGGCTCTCAGCTACCTTCTAACCAATTTTCAGCCATATCGATAAAGCCGTTCTTTAGTTATAAATAGTGTAACTAACACGACTTTCTTTTATATATATCTTTTATATATTAATAGAAAGAGTTTTAAGTCACAGACAATTATTACGTTAAAAAAAAAGTTTAACATACGCTTTACTATGTGTTTTAGAGGTATCTAGGAAGAAGAAGGAAGGTCACGAATTTAAACAATTATTCAAATATAACAATTATACTTTAATTACTTAGCACGCGTGTAATTTATGTATTAATCACAACAACAAAACAAACCAGATAGCTATTTTTATTTAGATATGATACACTTTGAAAAAGTTGGCCTTTTTGATCAGATAATATCTTAATTTGAACGAATTTTCTCAACAATCGAATAGGAAGGGAAAGTGGATTCCACGGTGTGGAGGTAGGAAGGGGAAATATTCTCTTTCTGTGCGTCCTTTGCTCCGTCGACAAACATATGCAATCATCTGCAAATACTAATATCTATGGGCACCGTTTGTTTCGCTATTTCGGAAAATATAGGTGGCCGTTTGCTCATTTGCCGCTTTATAATATAAAAAAATAATATTAAACCAAACTATTCGGTATGGTAAGAAATTGTGAGAACGAATAGACGTGAACTTTGACATAGTTAATTTGAATGTTGTGCAAGAGTACATAAAAACAATTAAAAAAATATATTATTAGTTATGGTCCACTATGTGTATGGTGCACTATTGTCCACAATATGAACCACTAGTATGTTGTTATAACATCTAATATAATGCTGGTATATAATCTTTTTTGATGACATAAAATTTAATTAAAAATGAACAAAATAATCGTGAGATTTAAACAACAAAGACTTTATTTTGGCGACGCTCGAGGTTACCAGGAGATCGTCGGTACAGCTCAATTTTAGTATATAAGCTTCGCGTGGTCCTTAGATTTACATCATTCGCGATCGTACTTCGTCTTAAAACATACGAATTTGTTACTATAAAATAAATATGGCTAAATTCTTGGTAAGTTATTTTAAATTTATTTATTTATTTAGAATATTAAAAGGATCGAAATCGTGTAAATTATAAATATATTATATAAAAATATTATCAGATTTAAAGAATAATCTTGTTAAAAGTTTTGGAGAATTAAATTAAATGTACGTACCTATTTTCTTCTACCTTCTTATAATCTTGAAATCTTGAGAACTTCACAGCTAAAAGTGGGATCAATAATAAATTTTAATTGTAATTGAATAGTACTTATTTTTAATTTGTGATATTTAACTTTTTAATTATGGTTTGTTATAATTTTTATTTATATTGCAGATTGTCGCACTGGCATTAGTAGCCGTAGTATCTGCACGACCAGGTACATTCCTTTTTTTTAATTTCAGTATCATCAAATAAAATTCAAATGTCTTATTAATTACACCGAAAAACCTGTATTAGGATGAATAAATTCGTCGCTAAAGTTTGTTAAGTTTGTTATTGCTTTTAAAGTTTGTTAAAGGTGGAATTTGACTGGTCTCATGTCATGGTATTGTTTCTGTATATTGCAAAGAAAGAACTCTAGAACTCCACTGCACTTACAATTCATATTACCATCCTTTCAGTCTCTTTTAAAAAACAGAGACTACACTATGAATTATTGAAACGGTCACAACAATCGAAGCTAACACTAATATTTTGTAGGTTACGGCGGCGGAATCGGAACCAGCAGTGGTGGGTATGGCGGTCACTCCGGTCTCGAGGGAGGCGTTGGCGGACATGGCAATAGTGGTTTTGGCGGTCAAGGAGTTGGCAGCGGATTCGGTGGCCACTCCGGCGGTTTTGGTAGCGGAGTTGGAGGTGGCCACTCCGGCGGTCTCGGTGGCGGAATTGGAGGTGGCCACTCCGGCGGTTTCGGTAGCGGAATTGGAGGTGGCCACTCCGGCGGTTTCGGTAGCGGAATTGGAGGTGGGCACTCCGGCGGTCATGTTGGCGGAATAAAGGCTGGGCATGCCGGTGGCTTTGGAAGTGGAGTTGGAGGCGTTAACGGTGGCTATGGATCTCATGGAGGATTCGGTTACGGACACGGCCATTAAAAAAACTAGTTGTTAACATTATTTTGTACTAATAATGTTTATGTTCTGCATAATGTTATACATTTCTAACCTGTGATTATTAATACATTTTTATAAGAATATGGAATTATTATTTTGAACTGTAACTATAACCTTATATCCGCCTATTTAGGATTGAATAGCCTCGATGAAACAGACAGATATAAGCATCCCTGTCTTATTGTCATAGTAATATTGAAAACTTTTTCATGAACCATATTAAAAAAGCCACAATTTATAAATTGAAATTAATACTTCTATCATAATAAATTAAGATCAAGTTTCTAATCTATAAAAATATAAAAGTAAATTATATCATTTGCATAATAAAATAATAAGTAAAATTCAGTAATTTTCCATTCGTTTTATAAACAAAATGAATCATCCTAACGTTTTTTTTTATATTATAATAGTGGTACATCTTGTATTGTGCAATACATACATATAAACGATCAGTTTGTTTGTATTTCATATATTTTTTTCATTATTTTATCAACATCGTAATTAAGTGTACAACGTTTATATTTTAATTACAAGTATTGCCAAAACTTTTTATTACCACTTTCGGTAAAACAAAGATATAATTTATATAATTATTACAAAACTTTAACTGAAATTATGACTCAAGGTGATTGCAGAACACCAATATACTAGCTATCGCCCGCGACTCCATTCGCGCGGAATTAAAATAAACTTAATAAATAGCCTATGTGTTCTACCAGACTATGTTCATCTGTGCAAAATATCAAGATCCGTTTAGCCGATCCGGAATTACCTTCTAAAATACATCTATCTATCCATCATCTACTAATTCAACTACTAATCAACTTTCATAACTTACTAATTCTTACTAATATTATAAATGCAAATGTTTAGATGGATGGATGTTTGAAGATATCTTCAGAACGGCTGAACGGATATCGATGAAATTCAAACATATAGAACATAATCTGGAAGAACACATGGGCTACTTATAATGTTTTTGTTTTTTAATTCCGCGCGGACAGAGTCGCGGGCGATAGCTAATTTATAATAATAGTAAGAAGATTTAGGCGACATTATGTGGATTGGTCGTTTATAATAATAAAAATAAAACTACAGTATGATAAAACAATAGCATTTATTTTATGAAATTACTTTCTATCTGAATTATTCCATGATTTTAACGTTGACATAATCCCACGTGACTAGCCGAAGGCAAATCAATACTAAGCAACTTTATATAAATTTCCATTGACAAAATCTACATTAATAGAAAAATACACGTCCCCAGTGCTTTGACAGTCTAATGTGTCTCTATGACAACTAATGTGCAATGTTTTGTGATAATACATTATTATTTTTTTTTAACAAATGCACCATTTTAAAAACAAAACTGGTTTATCAATCTCATTAAAAATCTTCCCTTATAGTGTGTCTATTTAACCCTCAGTAGCCTAATTTACATACGAAAGTGTTTTATTTTTAAAATTACTGTGTTTGCTCGATAAAATAAAACAATAATGAAAATTGTTTTTTTTTTAATTTCGTTGGAAAGAATATTACACAACAGTAAAATAGGTACAGCCAACCTATAAAAAAACTAATAGTAATGTGAACATTCGGTTTAAAAGATTGGTATCAAAATTGAAACTCTAGGCTAATAAGGGTTAAGATAGATTAGTTTTTTTTAATTTAATAATAGAAGGGGGCAAACGAGCAGCGGGAACACCGAGGTGTTCAACGACGCCTATGGGCATCAGCAATACCAGAGGAACCGCTGATGCGTTGCCGGCCTTTGAGATGATGATACGCTCGCTTCTTGAAGGACCCTAAATCGTAGTGGTTTGGAAATACCGCCGATGACAGACCATTCCACAACGCTGCTGTACAAGGCAGGAAGTTTCGCGCAAACCACACGGTTGTGGACTGCCAGCCATCGAGATAAAACGTTTGACAACTGACGCCGATAAAATATCGAATTAATTTTGTATGAGAATTAATGTTGTACTTTATGGACGGTTGTCATAGTATCGAACCGTCGCGCAAAACGAATAACTGCTAACTATCGAGAATTGGTCTTGTAATAAAATTAATCGAACAGATTGGTACTATAATTTAAGTATTTTATAACTTTTTGAATTTATTACAGTTATTAGGGTTTGTATCGCACAATTAATTTTAAAAAATCATTTTTTGTTCGAAATTTGTTTTGTTTTGTTTTTGTTTAATGTCTTATTTCTTTACATAGTTATGAAGGATAAAGTAGGAATAGAAAGAAACAATTTTATTTATATTGTAATTAAAAAAAAATAATCGCGAATTCTCGATTGCAAGTTCTATGAGAACAACCATCGAAAATCGAAAAAAATCTTAATCGATTTTACTCAACCCATATCTAGCAAATTGTCAATTGAATTGTCAAACTAATCTATCTTAGACACACTATAATATGTTATAAATATTGCCAGTATATACTATTTAAAATTCCGGTGCCACCACCGGACGAATATACGTGAGTGTTTAGCCATGTTTATATATCAGTTTATTTAAAATTCTATTACATTTTTATCATTGGTGGTAAAAGATTAAAAATCCAATTTACACCAAACTTATTTAGGAATATGTCTAAACCTAACAAGGGAATACTGTCTAAACGTATTGAAATATTTATTTTATTATAGACAATTTTTTTTTTATCCGTCGTATTCAAACTCAAGACCTAGGCATACCACTGTGCTATGAGGTCGTTACCATAGATACGATTATAATATTTACAAACTCTATCAACTATATACACAGATCGATTCAAAAAATTTACCATTCTAGATTTCAACCAATGTTTAAAGCATTTTTGAAGGCGAAATAAACACTATCACTACGTTAGCAATTATCAATTTAGTTATAGTTTTAAAATAGCTAATAATACCTCGGTCTCGATTATATAAAAGAAATTCCCCATAAATCTCTTTACGACTTCAATTACCCTGTCTCACTAAGCTGCAGTAAACAAATAAATTAATAATTTTCATTATATTTTACAAGACAAACAAAATAATGAGCAAATTTAACAATAACGTGAAAATATATTATAATGACTCGATATAACATTAATATATCATACACATAATGTCAACATATTCGAAGCTATGTTAAGTTGATACCAACTCAATACACAAACTTTGCAAAAATCACTACCAATTAACTCTAAAATATATAATTACAAAATGTTACCTGTAACCTTTTTTACAACTTTAAACTCAGAAATTTTAATAAATTACACAATATTTCCAATCAAAATAAAAAATGTAATAATTTTACAAAGTTTGAGTTTTGAGTTGGTATATTTGACATAATAAAGAGTGAAACTACTTTATAATATAAGAATAAATAAAAAAAAAACAGATAACCTGGGACCTAACAGGAACTCCATCTGCTAGATTATAGGGTTGCCACTAAATAAAATTAGATGTAAAAATTATACAAAATAATAAATAACAAAATTACCCCGCCCTTGCGATTAAAATGGCTTAAAATGCGACAAAGGAAAACATCAGCTTTGGAAAATTAACACTCAGAATCAATTTTAAATATATCCAACAGTTAATTAACAGCAGTTGTGGTAACATTAAATATTTTGAATCATTTACCGTGAGTTACTGACACCAAAATCTGTGTATAAAACATATCGTCATACTTGTCATTATCTTTGACAAGACAGAGATAACAATATGTTTTAAACGAGGATTTTAGCTTCAGGAACCCACGGTTACAAGAATAATTAAATGTAATTTTTTAAACATTTGGTTCAAGGGTGGGGTTTGAACTAGAATAAACTTGGCAATAGGTTCAAAATCATTATCATAGAATTTTGAACTTTAAATGTATGTGGGACAATGTTGCAAGCTGGTTCCGCATGCATCGCAGACAGTCGCATTGCGAGTGTTAACTAAAGTGCACGCGGGACACTCCCGCCCTCCAGACGTGAGAGGCTGTATCTCCGGACCACGTTTGGACTTGCCACACATTTCGCAAGCTTGTAAAGTTAACTTATTTAAATACGTACATGTTGAGCACTGCCATTTGTCTCTCTTCGACTCGCTCTCTGCCGTATTTGGTCTCTCTTTCTCACTATTATGCAGGTTACCACTTTCTCTATCTCCATTCTGATGGTTATACTTCGGTGGGGAGCGACGAATGTGGTTGGGCTCGTCTAATGTGACTACTAACTGAGCCTTTATATCGTAACTCGAATGCGCGCTGGATGCTGGAAAATAATACACATAAACTGTTTAGGTACTAAAATATGATTGTTAAATTAGAAACCATGAAAATGATAGCAAAATATTTTGTTAAAGTATTAATGTACTAACTTGCAGCAGTTTTCGTTAGGTGTTGCGTTCTATCCACACCATTCTCCAACGGTTTGCTCTTGTTGTTCCTATCGAGCTCAGCAGCCACCAACTTTATTGGTTTTTTCACTTTTTTAACTTCAGCACTATTTGAACCGGATCCATTGATAAAGTTCTGCTGCTTTAAAACCTCCTTCCTGTCTTTTATTTCCTTCTTTGACAGTAATTTAACTTTATCCGAAGGCACTTTGGTGGGTATGAGGCCGTCCGCTTTTGGATTGCCGACGGCCTCCGCCGAGTGACGTTTCTTTTTGTCGTCCGGATGTTTCTTGCTGAGCTGTTTCGCTCGCTTCGACTCCTGTTCCTGCTTCAACCTCATGAGATTCTCGTTAACTTTCGCAGTCCTGTACATCTCCTCGTCGTAAGTTCGATCAAGGTTGAGGGCTTGCAATCCGTCTTCCAAATCCAACGTGGTCGGTTGATACTTCGATCTCCTTTCCTCTCTTTCCAATCTATCTAACGTCCTAGAATCTCTATCGAGCGACTGCGAAAAGCCACTTCTGCTGTCCCCATCTTTATTCTTACTCGATAAATTCCTGAACACATAATCCCAGCTCTCGTACGTGCCCATGCCGTCCTCTTTGGCTTTGCTCAAAGCTGGCTGCGTGTCGGAGCGTGGCAAACTCGGTAACGTGACGTCGCTGAAACCCGATCTCGAGGACGTTCGTTTAGGTGTCTCGAGATGCATTCCGCTCTTCTTGTTACTTCTTTCTTCATCTCGATGTCTCTCAAACTTGCCGTTCTCATAAACGGAGGGCGTGTCCAATTCTATGAGCTGTGCTGTCGGTACCGTAGGCCCCGAGGGATACCTGCACTGCGGGATGGGAGGGTAGCCATTGACGGGGATGTTGGTGGCATGTTTGATCGGCGCATACACGGGCATAGGGATCATGTAAGGCGCCTGCACCGGGAAGTACTGCACCGGGCCGTACGGTGTCATGACGGCGGGCACCGGGACGGGCATGTCGTTCATGTGGTGCGGTGCCGGGTACACCATGTGGGGAGACACCATGTACGGAGGATGTAACATTGGTGGTATCGGCTCCTCAATAGGCGACACATCTGTACAAATGTTGTTACACTGCGCTAAGCTGGGATTGTACTGGGCCTCGGTCATGTTGATGCGGTGCGTGTCAGCCGTTACTGTGACGGCCACATTCGAGTAGAGTTCCGAATCTAGCAAACACATAGAATCCTATTATTTCGTCTGAGTTTCTTAACTTAATATTCGTGTTATTGAAGTTTATATTTATTTACATTCTATAGTTTGTTAGGCTAATTGTTTTTGAGCTGTAGGTCAGTATTCTCACCGTCACCATAGTATCCCGCTACGAGAGGGGCAACGAGTGGCGCGGGCTGCACTTGGGCCAGCTGTGCCTTGCGCTGATGCACCACGTCCTGCCAGCTGGCGCGCACGCCGCGCCCCAACAGGTCCTCCAACACTTTCGACATTATCTGACAAACAATTTAACACTTTTAATCTTAACAGCTAAAAGTAGTACTTTAGCAGCTAACGAATTAATTCACCACTATTAATAAAGTCATATATAACAGAAGATATGTACCCACTAAACAATTCGCCCTTATAAGTGTTTAAAAAAGTCCGTAAAGAGAGTTAATGTAGTCAGTATGGGACTAATATTATATTAATATAGGTATTTCAAGCCACAGATCCAGAGACACAGTACATGTATCTCCCATGTCTGTAGATGACCTAAAATGTTTTCCCTCAATAATAAACAACCTAATCGGTGTGCCAATTGCCTGTACAGAGTTCATACCTGGCACTCGCAGTGTGCAATAATGGCGTCTATAGAGACGGCGAGGGCTGCTTCAGTAGACGTCGGCTCATCGAGCTTGAGCCGCGCTGCGCACCGGTCCTCGGGCCTGTAGCCCAGCGCCAGCAACATGCCGTCCGCGCCCACAAGATTCGCCTCCACATCGTGCTTGTAGAAACCAGAGTATAGCTGCAAGCGGAATATTTACAAATGTAATAGTTGAAGTTCCAATCAGCTCTTTAAAAATAAATAAATTCACAAAATAAAGATTATTATATATTTATACATAAACCTAAATGACTAGGCAATTGAATATGAGAGGTTATGTCTAATATTATCAGAATAGCTGATGTAAACCAAAATGGCGAAAATCAAATTGGCACAAAATACTATGTCCGTTAGCCAGCCCATTTATAGAGGTCCGTAAATACGCATTATGTAACAGAACGGTCATAGAACAATTTAGAGAACGAACTTACTCTGATGACTTTATACTCGTTCCGCCATGGCTGCGTGAAGACGTTGTTGGCATACCGTTCTATCGCCGCCCAGCCGACACCAGCGCGGTACGCACTAAAGTCAGACATTTCATTTATCGTCCGCTGGAACACTCTCTCAGTCACAGCCAAACTGAATTTACACTCCGGTGGTACTAACGACAGGTACTCCATAATGTAATCTGAAAGAAATTATTCAAACTTACTTGCTTCATATATTGAAAAATTAATAGATGTTCTTAAGTTGCCTTATTTCTAGATTCTTCTCTATTATGCAACTATATTATAGACTTTTAAGACAATACTTAGTTAAGGTTCTTTCTAATACTTATATTACAACCAACAATACCAAACATTTACACACCAAAATTAGTGTAATAATTAATTCAATTATGTAATCACGAACTGAATCAATTTACTGACATATGCAATATAACAATGAAAAGGACAGCAATAAATAATAAATAAATATTTATAAACATATCTTGTTCAGGCAACAAACAATAGGTGAATCACATCACTATCATTCAACATGTTAGATGTAATACATCGTTCTTAGATCTCTACTCTGCTTAATGATAAAAGTTTATGTAAATAAGTACATTTTATTCAAGAAACGGTCCTTAGTGTTTAGTGAACACTACCATCCATAAAAGCACAGAACAACATTCTTTACAAGTTTCTTAGACATATCTATCACGCAATGTAGGAGAAATAGACAAGGCAACTGTACAAAGTAGAAAATTAACGATAATATACTAAGAGATTGAAGAACTGTGATATCAAGTAGATTAAATTATCAATTCTATTGTAGTTTGCTACACAAATGTACATAAACAAAAAAGAAAACAGAATAAAGTATTTTCATAAGATCTCCTTATTACAAATTTATTTACAATTGAGTCTAAGAATCATACTGTTACACTTTACCTTCCAATTTCTTCTTCAACGTAATTTTCTCCGGGCAGTCTTCCATTTCAACATAATTACAGTGCACACTCTTAATACGGCGCCACAGCGTTGGCAGACGCTCGTGCACCGCCGTGTCCCCCATGCCCGCCATTACATTCATCACCATCACCCAAACACCCAATTATAGAAAAATCACTGAAACAAGAGAATATTTTTATAGCAAATTATAGCAAATGAGCGGAAATCTAAAATAGCAGTGACCATTGTCCATAGGCATCTTGAATTAGTAGGTTACTACCGATATTAAAAAAAAGGATATTTCCTATGCCTACACATCCCCTTTCCTATCATCCATACAGCAGCATATACTGCTGCATTCTATACAACTGTATTGTCCCTACAAAAATAACAGATGAGTTATTCTCTTTTGTTATGGTAATGAACATAATAAAAAAGAGAAAGAATGAATTATTAGGTTGTCTACAACATTTGCAGCCTAGCATAGCAGAAATTTAATATAAATTACATAATAGCAATGATTTAAAAACAGGATAATATTATTAGCAGGCACAGAGACAGTTAAGAAGCTCAAATACTCCTGTCAGAACTCTGTGATAAAGTTGTTATTTATTTTGAAAGAATGTGTAGCCTACACTGCTTTTAATTAGTTAGTTATTAAATTACTTATTAAAACCATAGCAAGCTCTTTTCTGCCTCATTGGGGCATAATAAGTCAGTGAATGACAACTGAATTTGTAATAAAACAATAAAATGCATTATGCAAATACAATAGTATGATATAAGACAAACAATAACATAGTGACTCAAATTTCATTGGATTCCTATATGACTGTGCTATATAACAGACTAGCTGTCGGCCGCGGTATTAAAAAAAAAGAAAAAGGCTGTTTTAGGGTTTTATCGGCAATTATACAAATTTTTCACACCTTTTAAACCTTCCCACCCTAAACCATCATGAACATTTCAAGACCAAGATAAGACAAATCCACTCATAAGTTTTAGCAACAGAGATGAACAAACAGCAATTGATTTATATATATATATATATATATATAGATAGATGAAAGGCTGAGTATACCATTAACACCTGGTATTCTAAATCTCCATGTATTTCAGTTATGTTTTGATATGGTGATGTTTATGTAACACATTGATAATAAATATCATTAATAATAGATGCAGACCACTACTACTAGAGTTAGATATGATATAAACATATTTATGACTATTAATGGCAGATACACATGAGTAGAATAGAATTATATTCTGTGATTTGCTTAAATCTTATATTTTAAAGAGATTTAACAAATTTTACAAATAAGCAACATTATTTGGTAAAGTATGAAAGTCAATGTAAGTTTCACATCTATCATTTTATTGCTATGGCGCCACAACATAACTGACTTTTCTGATAAGATAATAAAAGTAATGATTCATACAGCAAAATCAAAGGTTGTTCATATTAAACATTTATGTCTACAGTACAACACGAAGATTTACATTATGTTAATTTAATATTTACGACTAAAACTACAATAGATTCCAAATTCGAAGTACATCGCCAGATGATTCATTTAAGACATTTTTTCACGACTCCGTGAAGATATTGTGTGTATTGATCACATTGTTGAATTAATCAGTGAAGAATAGCAATTAAAATAATACGGAACTCACCGTACATGAACATTCTTTTCCTAGGTGTCAAAATATATTTCTCCGCACGAATGTAGAACGAACGGACAAAAATAGTTCACCCAAAATAAGAAGCGTAACGAGTGACCCAAATTATAAAAACAAAATTAAATTTTAAAACAATTCAACTTTCCAAAATATCGCTTTGCGAATTATAGAAGGTAATTAGAGTTGAAGTGATATCAATAAATAAATTAAAACAAAATCAAGAAATTTGTTTTGACGTTTCGTACACAATACTTAAATCCACAGACAATAATCAAAGACTATTGTAAAAAATATAGATAAAACCAAGATAGAACATAAGAAATTATTTGTCTATAAAGGTCATGTACATTTTGTCGACGGAAAAACTTGACATCAAAATTCAAAACTTCCGTATAAAACTTGAAATACGACTATAAAAAATAAACTTCGACGTCAATTTAACGTTATTTAATATACCCTATGGTTATTTAATTCATTTCATATTTTAGTGTTTTGAATTAAATACAAAACGATAATACATTATGGTGCAATATATATTATTCATGGATTATATACGACAACAAGAGATTGATACTTTTTTTCAGGTTTCATATTTTACTTACTTTGGTCGCATCATTGTAAACATCTAATATTCTTAATTCCAGATCCCTTACATCTTAGGACAAGATCTAAAAATGTTCATACATCGTGTAGAATCATTGATAGAAATAAAAATGCTATTGTTCCTTACGTTCCTAAATAATTATTTCGATATACAGGCTTGCCAAAAACATAGAAATTATTACAAAGGCGTTCCTCAAAACTATCACCCATTAAAATACTTTGAAGAACGAGAATACAGATGGCAATGTCCTTCTGAAATGACTACGTAAGTTACCTTTAATAGTTTAATAACTTCCACTAATTAACAGTTTTAATTTTATGAGTCCGCAGATGAATTTAGTCTTATGTGTAAATAAACCTGTCAGAACTTCGTCTAGAAAATCAGGAAAAAATGTCGAATATTGCAGTTGTAAAATTAAATTTACGTTGTATACCAGAACCTACTTGTTGCTACATTTTTAAATATAAATATTTTATTTTTGCAGGTCATACTTAACATATCCGTATTATCATGTAAGATACAAACAGCCCAGTGTTTTACCCCATTCAACTGGACGTACCTCTGGTATACCAGCTCTTCCAGAACGTACTCTCGCTGCACGGTTCAATAAACCGTCATGCAAGGCTTACATAAGATAAATGTGGTGTTCATTTTATAAAGAGTCATTATACTCAACGGTACTCATGACATCTTCATAAGCAGTCAAAATTCACTGTACTCTGTTTGGATAAATTAGTTTATATTCATTTAATTAGTGAGATTAAATCAAAATTGAAAATATATTTAATTGTATTAATTCACTACTACTATAACTAATTTATTGGAATGCGACATAAGGTATAATCTACCTACCCCCTCTGCATCAGGGGCGTATGTTTCATGTAAGATTTCAGTTCATTACATTTTACATTATGTCGATTTTAGTACTTTGTTTAGCTACATTATTAAATAAAGAAGTTTCACTCCATAATTAATTATTTAGGGACAGAAAACTGGACTTCACATCAACCTTCTGTCAGGTTTATGAATCGTGATGTTATCTTGAAGCTGTAGCTTGAAGAGAAGTTGTTATTAACTATTAAACCTCATTTGAATAAAAAGCCTGGACAAATACTGTAAGCTGCTTGATAAAAAGGAACTTTTTAATAAGTAATAGTTATAATCTATGGTTTGATTTTGACATTGTCAACACAAAAACTCAATCTGGCTTTGCGCACGCAATTCAAAATTTCAAATTTTATTTCAAAATACATATTATAATGTTACAAATTTAAGCTAAGATATGGACATTCTATTTGTTGATAATAGGCGACAAGATGAAATCGAAACTTTTTATGAAGTAAGTATCGCACTTTTTATTACTCCCTTTCTATTAAATCTGGGACATTACTATGAGCCCTTATAAGTTAAGTCGATATAAAACCGTTTACTTAGACAGGATAAAGACTTGCCAGACAAATACTATTAAATTCGTAACGTGCAATTCAATTTTTTTTATATAGGCATGCCAGCGCCACAGAAGCTTTTACAAAGGCGAAGCCAGTTCTCGCCATCCTCTCGTTTATTTCAATGACCCACAATACATGTGGCAATGTCCTCCAGAAATGACACCGTACGTAACTTTACAATGTTATTTAATGTTATTTTTGTTTGCTTTATGACGATGAAATGAAAGCTGAAACTTATACTTTTCAAAGTTATGTTTGAGCGATGACAGTTCATGTAAAGTCATCGCTCATTAGGAACACCCCTGGATCCCATGGGGTCGTCACAGGCCTAATGATTGACCTGTAGTTAGCTATAATCTTATTATATATCGTACTTATAGCACGTATCTCGGCTTCCCATCAAGCCATGTGAGATACAAGCAGCCGGTGGTTTTGCCGGGAGACAGAGGACGCACGAGCGGCTTCCCCTCCCTGCCCGGACGCACTCTCGCTGGTCGCTACAATAAAGCGGCCTGTAAAGCTTTCATCAGATAAAATTTGACAATAATGAATCAACAATGTTTAATTTTTACACATAAATGATAACTACAGATGAGATTTCTTTTTTATTTCGATATTTTTGGTTTAATAACATTTTCTTTATACAAACTTACATATGTTTTAGAAAGATATCACACTTTTATAAGATAAAAAGTTAAGAAAGATAATACAAAAACATACATAAGATACGTTTATACTCTGAAGTAAAAAGTTGAGTGAAATTCAGGGATTCGCGACATGATGATTTTGAACTCGTTCAAACCTATACCGCCTGTATTGTCCAGCTTGATTTCGTCAAGTATCTGAAATTAAAGTAAAATAGATATTAAAAACGAATACTACTTTCTGTTGGGTATTTTATTATAGAATACACCATCCCCTATAGAGGGATTATGACCTTGTAGGTTATAACCTCCAAAATAGTGGTAGCGTCGTCACTGACCACTTTCCAATTTGAAATATGACTTAAAACTTACAACTTGAGCAATCTTCGTTTTTGATTCATTATCGAGTCGGTAAAAATGGTCCTTCGAGCACCCCGTTAAACGATCAAGAATTTCACTTATATCCCCCGTTGATATTTGACCATCGTCATCTAGATCTATTGAACAGAAAGTTGAAACGTATGTGGAGTAGGTATATCAAGTATAAAGAATATTACTTCAGAAACTTAGTTATTCATAATATCTTTGGCACTACATCTGACTAATATTATAAATACGATTTTTTTGGTAGACGTTTGTTAGAAAGTATCTCAAGAACGACTGCATGGATTTGAATGATATTTTTATAGAAGTAAAACACCATCTGGAAGAACACATAGGCGCAAATTACTGTTTTTTTTAATTCGATGATGAAATAATGATGTAAACGCTATTGCTAATCTATACTATGATCTAAGCACACTTTCTTTCACAAGCTTAGAAGTGTGCAAAAATGAAAATAGTAAGAAAATTATATCCTAAACTCACCAAATATTCTAAACGCCCAGGCCGCTTTTACCTCTGTAGGGCACTCGGCACTCATCGCCGAGCACAGGTCTAACAAATCTTCAAACGAGAAACAATCGTCGTTTTTAGATGAGAATACATGAAAAATGCGGTCCTGGAACGGGTTATTCTGAAGGCAAAATATTACTTAAGTCTATGGATCAATTAATGAAATTGACGCTTAATAACAGGGGACGTTACTTTTTAAAATATTTTGTATATCAATAATGTGCAAGAAAAAAGGCTCAATTGCTTAATATGGGTAACGATCTTTAAATCAGGCGAACCACTGCTTTTTCAATCTACATGCTGAAAAAGATGCTATATTTTTGTACATGTTTTTGAACAATGGAAACCAACAGTTTGTGTATATCATTTACAACAAAACATCCAGTCAGTCCTACCTGTAAAACATCAAACTTCTTGATAATAACGTCCTTTTCAAATCTGTGATGATAATTATCCCGAATTTTATCTGGATCTATAGAATAGAACTTTTTCATTAAACTGAAAACGTAACAACAATTTAAAAAAAAAATCCAAACACAAATATTTAACGATATATTTAAAAACTTATTCTTACGTTATTTAACTTTGTAAACGAATCAAGACAACATTAATACGTATACATACGTAATAAAAAATTAATAGTAGTTTCTGTTACTAGAACGTGGAAGCTAAAAACTCTTGAATACTTACTATAGAATTTCACCTTTATTTAAATATGTTAAAGTCGTATAATCTTCTAAGACATCTTCTGTTAAACCGGGATACGATTGTCCGATGCCCATATTTGTTTACACCAAAAAAGAACAAAAAAATGCTCGCGTTTACTTAGGAGCTCAACAACTATTAACGCTACGTATCGCAAATCTTATCAGCAATTACTACGGATGATTATTATGATGATTAATAGGAATTCGATTAGATATTACACTTGTATTCAAGTTATATACATATTTAGTTGAACACACTAAAAATGAAGGATCTAGGTCTTTGGTTGTTAATGTATTTTCCTATACTAATAATCATCTAATTTTAGCGCAACAAATTCACTAATAAATATATTTTTGGATCCAATGCTTCATAAGGAAACATTATTAATAAAATGACAGATAAAATGTATGTCTGCAACAATATAAAGTCACTACCGAAAGCTAAATGAATGCTAATTTATTTGCACGTTTAACTGGCACTCAAAATAATCACTAAGGGTAGAAATAGTAACCATTTAATGATTTTTTCATTTGAGGTTGGCAGTAACAGTTACCACAAAATACGGAAGCACAGGCAATAGAGAAATTCTTCCATAACAATTTTATTAAAACATATACTTATCTCTGTTTTTCTGTTAGGGAGTGAAAGAGATGGCAATACATTAAAACAAGTAAGAAAATGAAGTAAAACAAATAATTTTGGAGAAAAATAATTTATAGCTACAACATTTACAAGAAACTGAGATCACACCCAGTAAGAAGTTACAGTCAGCGTCATATAGATCGACACAGACAAGATATGCAAATATATAGGTACATCAAAAGTAATCAATTATATCGGTACAACAAAAGTCCTCAAAATAATAGATACATTCACCCTGCTCAAATAC